AGCAACAGAAGCTTCGGGTCTGTGAGGTTTGTTCTGCTTATCTTGGTGTGCACGACAATGATCGTCGACTCGCAGACCATTTTGGAGGAAAATTGCATCTGGGTTTCATTGAGATTCGGCAAAAATTAGCTGAGTTGAGGCAGTATGTGAACGAAAATCATATTGTTCGTAGGCGCAGGTTTGAAGGGTACAACCGATCCATTTTTATCACAGTGGAGGAGAGACGTGAAAAAGAGCGTATACGCGAACGCGAACGCGAGCTTGAAAAAAATGAACGTCGACAGAAATCCAGAAGTCGTAGTCGTTCACGGAGTCATTCTCATAGTCGGAGGCATAGTCGTCACCGTAATGGAAAACATTCCCACAGGAGTAGAAAACGGCACCATCGCTCTTCCAATCGAAAAAGTGAAGATCGTCACTGACAGATATTTTAACACTTGTATAATATTATCTCCGATTCCTAACCTGTATTTATTTTTTGTTCTCTAATGCATCGTCCCAGTAAACTTGTTTCTGTGATTTGCATTCAGTTTTGTTTTATACATTGAATGTTTTATATTATCCATTTGAAATATTTTACTATTCGGTGTTAATCATCATCGCGGAAATAACAACTTGTGTAACCGAGTACTCGTATGAACCAAAGTGATTTGATTAAAAGACTATCCAAGTCATACGCCATGCCAATCCTGTGACGTGATCAGTTTGTGGGGCCTGTTTGGTCCTAAAAACGGGACAGACCGCCGTGTTTTTTTTCTGAGCTACAAATAGGATCAATGATGCAGGTAGCAAGTGTCTAGTCGTATACCGTGTGATATAACCGTGTACAGACTTATCCCCTTAACCTTGTTTCAGGTGCAAGTATACCACTCAGCTGTCTGAAGTGGGTGTATGCAAGAATGATCCTGTTACACAAAGTGGTGTCACTACTATGAACAGGAGTAAAAAAAAACCCAATGTGCTGCATTCGAGTGGTTATCTCATTCCATCAGAACCCGCTAGTCGCACATATATGAATACGCCTTGCCTATTATTTCCGTTTTGGGTTCACTTCCACCTGCTTCAACACCTGATGCTAAAATTTCAAACTACCGGAGCATTCGTAACTTCTTGAAGCTTCACCGTTGGTCCATGATTTCACTAAAATTACCCAAAGAACTGTAAATGACGCCCGGCGACAAATTATGTACCACAATACCTTCGACACCTGATTAAGGAAGGGAAGTAACCCACCAAATCTTAAACGATGCTAATTTCAAATCAGGCCACATCTAATTTTTTCGTATTTTCGTAGGTTAACGAGTAGGAGTTAGTATACACAGTTGTGAATCACTTATTGTTGTCTTGTTATTGAGACGCGAATAGGACTGAGTAGCGTACGGTACGTTGGTTGTCACAACTGTGAAGTTCGGGTCCCGACTATCACATGCGGACGGTCCCTGCATAGAACTGGACTTCCTTGTGAGCAAACGTTTCGGGAACTGTCTTGTTCCCATGTTCCTCAATCGTTTAAATGTCTAACTCAACTGCGAGATTGTTAATGCATCTTCATTTCCACCTCACATAATGTGTTCTAGCTAAGAAGAGTCAGTTTGTGACCCTTTTTAAATCTTGGGCTAGTGTATACTTCTGTCTAGTACAATCCGTGTCGTTGACCACCAGTAGTGTGGCCGCGTTTTCCTGCTAATCAGAAAACGACTACATCCCATAGCAGTCTTTTCTATATCATTTAAAGCCCGCTGAGAATGGGGTTTTAAAGATAGTTTTTCATAGGTTACCAGTACTTAGTGAGGATTGTCTTTGGATTGATGCTCGCTTCCGGTGAGTTCGAGTAAGTGGCCTAGACGTTGCAAGGAAAACGCACGCTCTTGTCAGACCTCACTACTTTGGAAGGCATTTGAACGTACAAGTGATTATGCGAGGACCCAATGCTTTGCGCACTGACCTGGCTGGGAAGGGGTGAGGATCCGTGAAAGCTTGGAGAACTTTCAGGTCGAAACATGAGATGTCTATAAGGCTACTGACGCTTAAACTTGGCTGTGCGGATTAGCCTAAGGTTTAGACTGTGGTTTCATAAGATCATCTGATTGACAAGTAACAGCCTGAAATCAGGCACTATGGTGATTCATTTGTTCTTTCTTTTCAGCTGTAAGCATATTCAACACAATACCTTAATTCTATGTTATGCCTATTCCTGCAAGTGATCAACTTGCGTGTATATGTTTTTTTATTTTAACCGAATCCATACGGATTGATAGACACATCCCATTGTTCATGCATGTCATTCTGCGGGAACTAATTCTGATTCGTTCTCACAAACTAAGATCTCAATTTAACTACTAGTTCCTAAATCCTTCTAAGTTCATAGGTGTCGTTAACAAGGTTTGACTTGATAATTTCAAATAAATTGGGCATCGGGTAGGTTGCTATTGATAAAGATCCGTTTGTAGAAAAATTAAGTTTAATTAGTACTATATAAACTTGGGTTAATTTAATTTGTTTGATCATCTGAAAAAGTGGTTTACGTTGAGCCTCGATACATCAGAAACCTTAAGACTTAATTTTTCTACTCACTGATACTACATATACATTATTTTTACTTCCTAAGTTCAGTTATTTAGTTTGCCTAAGTATCCATTCATATACCATTCTATTCACTGTTCTCGAACTATAAATTAAATATTTACTCCTTTCTACTATCATTGTTGTTACGATAACTTCGACTCAAGTGATATTCATCTTGTCAATTCTACTTCAATGCTAGTGTAGTATGACAACTTCAACTGACATCAATGCCATAGTGTTTATGATTGACTGAGTTAACTCTCGCAACCTCGTGGGAAATTAGGTCCGAGGTATAAATTTAGCGAACATTATTCAGAGTGCTACACAAAGATCCTCTTGTTCTGATACGGGCAAGAATCAATACGTGTATCAAATCATTACATTGTGCAAATGAATTCCCCCTGTTTACACTGTCAGTATTAAACGGGTGTAGTCATTTCAAAAGATAGTCAAATTTTTTGAGTCAGGTGAGAGTTGTTTGACGAAGTAAATTCTCGACGTCGTAGACGGGATTACAAATAGATATCAACATGTTCACGACCTATCACCGGCACGACATGAACACTATTTCACCTTCGTGAAATACTCAGCAATGTACAATAACATGGACTTCAATAAGGATATCCCCACCATTTTTTACATTATGCAATCTAACTAAAGCTCCCCATACTTGATGTATAGCTACTGACTTCAGAAATGTTGTATTAGGGATTGTAAACACCGTTTCTGCTTAAACTAAAAAATAGGACGTTTTAGCTAAGGGATTCTGTGTAGGGTATTTTTTCGCTTAGACTGAGGGAAGAGCAATTCATGGCCGCAATAGAATACCAAGAGTTTGATTCGCATTAATATAAAAAAGGTGCACGTTGGAGAATCCCGTTAAACAAACAGACCATAGTGCTTATTTAGCCTCAATAAGTCAGTGTACGGAGGATATAGTTCTGGCTTGAGAAGTAGTCTGCATCTATCAACATGGCTCAGACTAGAAGTTAGTGACTTCAAGCACTGATGCCACGTTTTGGTTTGGCCGCCCCTAACTTTCTTCCAACCATCCCAAACACCGGTTAGCATTGCACGTCGTGCTAATCTAATCGGTGTTTGGGCATACGTAACACGGCCCAACCATCTCAGTCGATGAACATTCACAACCTCATCAACTGATTTACCATCATTACCTAATACTCTGCGTCGAACCTCACTATTACTTACCCGGTGATCCCAGCAGACGCCAGCAATATTTCTAAGGCATCTGTGGTCAAATACTAGTAGCTTACGAGTGTCTTCTACTCTTATAGCCATGTTTCGCTGCCGTAAATTAAAACAGAACGAACTGTTGCGCAGTATACTCGTCCTTTTATTGATAGACGGATATCTCGCCTTCGCCATAGGTGACGTAAGTTGGCAAAAGCAAAACGAGCTTTTCGAATCCGTGCTGAGATTTCGTCAGACACCAACTCATTAGGGATGATCAGACTTCCAACATAACTGAAGTTGTCGGCTCGTAGTCTATTTTACTCCTATCCTTAGTTCAAATGGTGATGCACACCAGTCTTGAAGCAACGACTTGCACTTAAAGGGAAAGAAGCGCATCCCAAACATTCTGGCATTGTTGCTTAGTGCTACCAAAAGTCTGCATTTTATCAGCGTCTTCACCAAACAGGACTATATCATCTGCGTATTCTAAGTCGATAAGTGGACCTCCTGGAAGGAGATCAATACCCGAGAATTCAGTCGACGAGAGTGTTATTTCCATCAGTAGATCTATGATGAAGTTAAACAAAAATGGAAAAAGTGGAAGCCTTGACGGACACCACTTGAGGTAGTGTTCGAGCACAGAGCCTTCACAAGGTTTATGTACTTCTGAGGTGCGCCTTTCAATGACAGACACTGCCACAGAATCTCGCGGTCTACAGAGTCAAATGCTGCTTTTAAGTCGAGAAAGACCACCATTGTCGGACGCTGATAAGTATGCCTATGTTTTAGAACCTGACGAAGCTTATCAATTAACTTGAGAACGATAATTAATGATTCCGAACCACCACGCATTTATAGAATGTTCAAAGTTGTGTCATGTCTATCAATAATAATTCATAGAGGCCTTCAGGTCTATTCATTGCTCCCAGTTTAGACAGTGCGATGCACTTTCGTAGTAATATATCCTCAAAACTTTGATACTGGGTAGGATCGATTAACAAGGCATTGAGTATTCGTAGTCAGTAGTTTTACTCGTATTTTATCAATCCCTTCAACAGGTTGAAGAGATGTCGAGTTGGGAAAGCTGAAGCCTTCGTGTAACATAGACACGAGTTTCTTAAAAAATGTGTTACCTGGCAAGATTGGGTATTAATCTCAATGGCTGGCAAAATACAAAATGAGTTCTAGAAAGTTGTGTTCTCTCCAAATTTGTTTTTAATACAGGTTCATTCACCTAATCACGACAAAGCGTATGTTAACTATAACTTTGTTTCATATCCATATTTGAAAAAAAATCATCATTACGCGCAACGAATGTTGAGACAGTATTTTTAAAGTTAACATAACCAAACTACTGATTTCCCTTATACATTTAAATTTATGTTACTATGAAACAACTTCAATTGGAGACCTAGTGATATAATATGACAAGGTTCTGGAGAAAGATAGCGATATTCTTCTATGAGCTCAAGCACCCTTCATAAATTAAAAAGTAAAGTGTTCAGGAGAACAATATCTACAATAATATATGGTCTAGAATGTTTTTAGTAGTAATTAGAAGTGTTATAATATTTCACCAGTATCTTAATTTGAAGGTTCTGCTTTTTTAATTGAATGATACACATGTTCCACAATATCACGGGGTGTGTGCAATTTTTCGGCGTCCACATCACTTATTTCAAACCCTGAAAAAAATTTAAGGCACAAAATAGGTGAGATACAGATAGACTGACAATGTAAAAAAACAATAGACGAACTTAACTAGGGAAAATGAGTTATAAGCAACAATATAAGTAGTATAAACTTGATAAACTAAACTACGTAGAATGTTCCGAACAGTACTGGTAGATTATAAAAAGTAACACGTGAATTTACTTGCTGGGAATATTTGCTTCGTAGGCTATTTATTTATTTACTTATCAGAGCACATAATCATCGGTATAAGGGAGCACCAAACACATATGCACCACACAATAACAATGAGAATGTGAAGAGATAGGGAATGTACAGTGCATATTATAAGAAGAATAACAACAACAAACAGTGTACGAGAATGAAATATTAATGGGAGAGGCAGTCCAGTTAGCAAAAATACAACCAGAAAGAAAGTTACATTCATTTTTTATGGAGAAAGTTACAGCAGAATCAACAATGGCTTTTATTATGAGCCATATCTGATAATATCTGAAGCCACTGTATTGCACCATCTCTAGGATCCCAACCAGGGAGTCATGGAGGACCAACAGAAGCCATTCCCGAACAGTTTTCTCATACCACGATACCATGCCATAAACTGACCACTCCTCCGTTTTTTTCAACCGGTCCTAGTGTCGGCAAATAATGCACGACGTGGAATTTTCTGAGACGACATTCGTAGAACATGTCCAAGCCACCGAAGTCGGTGTTTCGAGATGGTGACACCAATTGCATTATCGTCTCTGTGCCCGAACACACGACGTCGAACCTCTGCATTACTGACATGGTGTTGCCACTAGATGTCAGCAACCCTTCGGAGACAGCGATGATCGAACACAGAGAGTCGTCTAACACCCTCAACTCGGAGAGGCCAGGTTTCACAAGCATAGAGCAAAACTGCTCTCACCGACGCGTTGTAGATCCGAACTTTCACAGCCAGATTGGCATGAGCCGCTCTGGCTTTCACTATACGTGCATTGATCTCATCACTCACGCCACCACCAGCACTTATGCAGCTACCTAGATACACGAACTTTTCGACTACTTTTATCTGCTTATCATCCAGGGTGAGTAGAGGATTAGAATCCTGCCAGTCTTGTAGAAGTACTTTGCACTCCGAAGATGCGAAGCACATACTATACCTACGGACCTTAACTGCCAGCTGATTAGGTGTGGATTGCATGGCTTGAGCATTATCACACAGTAAGGCAATATCATCCGCATACTCAAGGTCGAGAAGTCTTTCCCAAGCAACAGATCCACACCGGTATTACTTACATCCATCAGAGCTGTTTCCAGAATGTCATCGATGGCTTAGAATAGAGGCTAGTTATAACCCTGTCGAGATTTTCTTTTAATTTTTTTATAAAAGTGGGAGGGACTTCTGTTACTGAAAGGTTCCTTTCTGGTTATGTTTTTCATAAAAAACTGCATCGCACATTAATTTTTACGCATTAACTTAGTTCATCTTATTTATTATTTTGAGACTCATTTCTCGCTCCTCACAATTTCATTTATCTATTTGTGTGGCCAATATATATTTTGGTGCCCCTTTGTATCAATATTTGTGTTTAAATAAATACAATATAAGGGCTGGAAAGATGTGCATTTGATTCGATAGAATTTTTTAACACATTATATGACCACCTGAGCATAAATTAAGAGCGAAGGGAAGAAATTTTTACACCATGTTTAGTGTAGATAGTCAGTCAGTCAGTAATGACGTAGAACTTCGTACGTACGTACGTACATCAGTTCGAGTTGCCACACCACATTAGCACAGAGATGCAGTGGTCGATTCAAATCCCGTAGTGCTAGATGTAGTAAAATTATAAGCTGTAATCAGAAAAATTAGGGTTTCAAGGTGTTATTCAAGGAGTATAATCCAGTGAAATAGATTTAAGAGCAAAAATAAGGGACATGAAGAATTCAGAGGATTAGAATTTGGGAGAACACAAAGAGTCGATGCACCTGCGCCAGTGCAAACGATTTTGAGCCATGCCATTCAGGGTCTCTAACCATCGGTTGCTATCATCTCGCGGTCCCCAACCAGGTAGTCTACACCTACCAATATGACTCAGTCCACTTGTCAGTGACTTCATGGACTTGTGCCATGTTTTGGTCTGGCCTTAGTGTAAATAACAAGTTTGTCAAATAAAAATAGGCAAATGGTAACCATAGAGATGCTAGTTAACTGACACTTAGAAACCTCAAATATTTTAATTAGAAAAGAGTTTTGTGTGCCACATAGTTTAAGAATACAGAAAATATTAAAATGGATCAAAAAGGTGTGATAAATTGTTTAAAATCTAGAATAATTGTGGATGAGTCCATATGACAGTAATCTAAATTACAAATTTACCACTTGGTATCATAGGACATTTTTCTTTTAAAACATCTAAGCAGTCCTTTAAATATGGAGAACCATTTGGGAAACTCGGTTCGAATGTGGTGAATATATTAAAAATTTTAATGCGAAAAGAAGACAAAAATGAGGCTGGGGTACAAAGTCAGACTCATAAGCTAATGGGAAACCAGTGTTAATAAGTTTTACGCGTAAACACGTCCTATAAATTGTAACATGCCCAAGTATTGAGACATTTTTGACACTCTCACGCATAAAATAGATGACGAGTTCTAGCAAATTGAATGAAATGAAGTTTTTTGATTGTCTGGATGTTAAAGTGGAGTAAGAATGCAACAAAATATGCATTTTTTTAGGAATAATTCTGTAAAAAGTTGCGAAAATTATGTCGAATTAATGTAAAACATGGGAGAAAATAGTTGCTAGTGCTATTATGTAGTTTTTATTCCGAATTTCAGATAAATCTCTACATTCTGCTTGAGTGCTGTTAGAGGTATGAGGGCGGTTTTCACTTCCCCGTTGCCCACACCGTGGAAGGGTTGTTTTGGAGGTACCTGAAAAGGAAATTGGATTAGAGGTGGTCTTAGTGACCTGAGAGCGTGACCGCAGTGCCCAAGGTACAACTGCTTGAGGTCGGTCACACACGACCTTGTTATGGGTAATTTTTGTGTTAGCTCCGTACTTATTGAGACCTTACCGCCGGAGACGGATATCCGTGGGATAAGGCGAGGCGTGCATTTTTAGGGTCGACCTTTTCTAACCCCACCCCTCCTTGTGGGAAGGCAGCATCGCTGTCATGCTGGTTGTCTGAAGGAAACACCTTACTGCTGTCACACCTCTGTACAGTCAGCAGTACGACTTCGCCTTCGGACCTTGGGTTTGTTGCTTTTAGTCTTACCGCTCTTCAACCGACCTGTCTGACATGGTAGGACCTTGAGGAACGGTTGTTCCAGCCAGTATAGCTCGGTTGCTTCATCACGATAGGCAAGCCCGACCACCACGTCAAGGTAGCAACAACGGCCGGGAGAACACTACATTCTGCTAGGAACTTGAATTTCGCTATATGCATATGAGGTCAGCAGTCGTCATATTAATATGGATAACAATTATATTTAAGTTTTAGACAAAACAAACAAACACGATAACGCGCAGTGCGCATAAGTGCCTTAGTAGTTAGGGTTATTCTGATCAACATAGTATGCTAGATCTAAACAAAAACTTTAAAATGAAAGACAACACAAATAATTTAATAACTACTTTTTCAAGCTAGAAATATAATAAAGTGGGATTGTTTGACTTTATCAAACTATTGTAACTTCAACATCAAAGATATTTTACAGACATCTTCAAGCATAGAAGTTTTTCGATCTGCAGTATACTGACGGCAGCACAATATTGCTCAAATCGACTGGTGTTTATTTACCATGTACTAATCACGTGTACGAATACTTTACAACACTTAAATAAATGAAAGTCTATATTTCTGAAGGAGTGAATTTGATTTAAGTAAAAAAATCCAGGTGGAGGTTTATGGAAATCTAAGCTTTGATATCATCAGTGTCTCCGAAATTCCAAGAGTTAATTGGGTCAACGAGGTCAGTTATAATAGTATATTTAACAGTTATGCTTAGTCATCAACATCTCTGTAGCATTTGCTCATATTTGACACCAATAACACTTGATTGCCCCCAAATGCCCTGGTATGGTCGAGAGTGGGAAAAGTTCGCTTTCCCTCTCGAAATGCTCTCGCATGGCCATGCGTATAGAGCCTCTGTCAGGAAAGTTCTACTCACTGACTTATCGTGGCGGGGGTGTTGTTTACGAAATTAAGAGGACGAAAAGCGAATGTCCGGCGCTTTAACTGCATCCCAAACCAATGGTGCATATGGGCTCCTGTATCCGGCGGGAACAAATAGCGTATGAACCAGTCGTTGGTCACCGGCTACCATGGGACAGCATCTCCTCACGATGCTCCACTGCCTTGTGGGTCAGACCTTTAGGTCAAAGGCTCGGGGTGTGGCCCCCTAAGAAAACCACCTGCTTCGGTTTGGGCACCTGGGCAGTATCACAGCCCACACGCAAATGATGAACTCTCTATATCTATGGAAACTACTTTTCTCGCTTTGAATAACAACCAAAAGATTCACATTATCATTATTATTACCACTATTATTGATATTATTATTATTTACGTCATTTATTCTCTCTTTTATTCCCGCTCTATGCATCCTTATTTTTCGACTTATACAGCAGCTCGCCTATGGTGGAAATTTGACTCTATCTAAACGTTCTCGAGTCACTGACTGGTTGAAAATTGTATGCTACCACCAAGTACGAATACTGAAGCAGTTTTTCTGAAACCACGTGCACCATTCAAACTGGCTGCCTTCAACGTTCGCACACTTATGCAGGTCGGACAGCAGACAGAGCTAGATATGTCTTTGGAAAGTCTTAATATCGACGTTTATTGTCTATCCGAGACCCGTATTCAAGACTCTGGTGATGTACTACAAATTCGATCTCCATCTGTCGCTTCAAAAAGCTTGTTTTACGTGCGTTTATCCGGGGACACTGTGGCATCTTCGTCTGGTCTTGCTGGCGTTGGTGTCGCACTAAGCGCTAGAGCTGAGGCAGCACTAATCGATCAGATCCCCATTAACAGTCGGTTATGCGCTGTTAGATTAGAAAGTTCCATCAAAGTGAAAAGAAATCGGCGTGAGAAACGATGTCTTTTCGTCATCTCCACCTATGCTCCGACAGATTGCAGCCCGGATGCAATCAAGGATGAATTCTACCACTAGTTATCTGTTCTTCTCCAGAAAGTGCGTTCGACAGCTATTGTAGTACTAGCCGGACACTTGAATGCTCAGGTCGGCCGTCTAGGCACAGAAGAGAGTCGTTTAGGTGGCCGATGGCGACTTGTCGGTCACAGGACCGTCTGCTGCGACTGTGCACAGACCACAACCTGTTTCTGGCTAGCACTAACTTTCGGCACAGTCATCGCCGATGTGCCACCTGGCGTCCTCCCCTTGCATCTCAAGCCTGGACTCAGACTGATCACATCGCGGTCAGCTACCGCTGGCGTAGTTGTGTACAAGACTGCCGCTCCTTTTGGAGTACCTATCTGGACTCTGATCATGCCCTGGTCTGCACCAATCTTACGTTACTTTTCAGTGGCCAACGAAGTGATCACCACCAAAGGATTGATGTTAGCAAGTTGGTTGCAACTTCATGAAAATGGCGCTTCGAGAAACGTCCCGCTTATAAGCACTGGGTTTCTTCAGGTTCCTTACAACTCATTGAAGCCCGTAGGTCTACTCCGGGTGACCGTGAGTTTGACAACAAACAAAGGATGTTACGTAATGAAATCCGGCAAATCTTGTGTAAGGACCGAGAAGCTTGGTGGTTGGAGGGTGCTAATGAGCTGGTAGCAGCAGCTGCATCTTTATTATTATTATTATTTGAACTCACAAATATTGGCACAAAATATATAACCGCCACACAAAACAACGAGAATTTGAAAAGAAAAAAAGGTGAGGAGTGTAAAAACAGAACAATAACGGACAGATTAGTGTAGGGTAGTGTAATGATAATAATAATAATAATGGGGAAACAGCAAGAAGTCTGGTGTGAGCGAAACAATCTGTGAGGATGACGGGATGCCAACCGCTAACATCCATCGACGTCTTGGACGATGGGCAGAATTCTTCGAAGGGCAGTTCAACTGGCCTGCTGCTCCGGCAACATAGTTGAGTCCCCAATGGTACTATACGCCGAAGATGTAAAAATATCAGGAGACACAGATGCATGCGTACTTCAGACAAACTTAAATATTGTGATTAGCTGGTCTAAATAGTGGCTGATACACCTTAATGTGCCCAAGTGTGCTTTGATAAAGTACAAAGATATAGCATAGGGGAAGTGCCTGTACCCGTAGTCTGGTCTCACAAGGATCTTGGGGTGACAGTAAACCATGATCTTTAGACCACAGACCATTGCCGGGAGGTTGCAGCTAAGAGGTTTGAGATGATGGAGAGGAGGTTTAGAACCCTATGAACTTTCAGTTGGACATTCACCATGTTAGATACTAATATGTTTACTACAGTATATACAATCGTAGTGAGGACTCAACCTGAAAATTGAGTTCAGTCTGCAAGCTTCCGTTCTAAAGGTGACTCGGATATACTGGAAAACGTGCAGAGAGCAGCTACCAGTACAATTCCAGAACACCGGAGTTTAACATACAACGAGCAGCTTAAAAAGCTAGACTTCTCTACTCTGTTCAACCGCAGATTAAGTGATCTGATTTTGATGCATATAATACTAAGAGATGATTTCGGACCTAATATATCCTCTCTCTTTCTTCTCATAGTATTTGTACATCTCAGAGGACATAGCAAGCGAATATGAGAAGCAAGAACGATTAAAATATCCGTAGCATACATGTTTCACACCTTTTACCCGAAGCAGTGGTGTCCGAACCTTTAATTGACACATTTAGGTAAAGACTAGACACTTACAGGAGCATACTAGAAAAGGAACGACACAGGCAGTAGGCCTTCTGTCCTGACTGAACAAGTCTGAATACCGGCGGATGTTAAGACTAAGGACACTCGAGAAACGACAATATTCTAAATCTCCGTTTGCATGAGAAACAACACATTTTGTAGATTTAAAGAACTTACGGAATTCATTTTCGATTTCCATAATTACTTCTATGTGGTCCAGACTATCAAGACCGAGATCTTTGATAAACGAAGAATCAAGCGTAAGCTGCATATAGTGTTAAATAAATATGCACAAGAACCTTATCGGACTGGATTTTATCGAACGCAGAACAGACAGCTAAAACTTTACTTTCCACTTCAGGTTTAGAGAGCAGAATTTGTATCGACCGTGTTTGAGCTAGACATGGGTATGCAAGTGGTTGATTTCCAAAAATTTTATTGGATACAGATAAAGTGTGCGGGATATTTCGCGGTAATACGTATCTTTGGAATCCTGATCTCCAAACAGCAGAGGTAAAGCACCAGGCGCTCATGTTTGAAATTGCGCTCTAAAAGACTCACTCTAAAAACACAACATTATTTCATTTATCTAAAGGTTTTAATAATTTTTAACTTAAATTTCATAAGACCGTACAGTTATGCCTTCAAAAGGTAATTAAGTGATTACTAGAGTGTGAAGTTGTACCTTAACCAAGTGTTCAAAGAAAGATGTTATGCATAATAATATTATTTACAAGGATTTTTGGAGCTTCATACAGCGACTATACACCTCAATGTCTTGGTTTTGTAGTCGACTGTCCTCTTTTTCTACCATATTAAAATATTGCGTTGTATATTCAATTACTCATTGAAATGGTATCATAGTAACGAGTGGTGATAATATTTCAAACTTGTGAAAGTGAGATGAATCTTGTACATTTGAAAACTCTCATACCAACACAAGAATATGAAGCTAAGGTACAGAGCCTTGCTTGGTCTCCAAATAACAAGAAAATAGCCGTATGCACTAGTGATCGATTGGTAATTATTTTTGATGAGAATGGAGAGCGTCGTACACGTTTTTCTACAAAACCTTCTGATTCAAAAAATGATGGAAATTTATTTCAAGTACGAGGCATGGCATTTTCTCATGATTCTATCAAACTTGCTATTGCACAGTCAGACAACATAATATTTGTGTACAAAATTGGAGAGTCGTGGGATGAGAAAGTAGTAATTTGCAATAAATTTCCACAAAAGTGTCCCGTAACATGTATTGCATGGCCAGTAAATCAACCCATTATTTGTGGCCTTGCTGATGGCAAGGTTAGGGCTGCGAACACTCGTACAAATAAATCATCCACTATATATAATGCTGACTCTTATGTTGTTTCAATTTCAGCGAATATTTCGGGCAAAGGATTTATTTCTGGGCATGCAGATGGGAAAATAATTCGATATTTTTTTGATGATGATGGTTCAGGTGACGCTCAGGGGAAACTTACGACTCACCCCACAGCCCCGTATGCTTTAGCATGGGCTGGTTCCACAATTCTAGCTGCTGGCTGTGATAAACGTATCTATGTCTATAACAGAGAGGGAAAGCTTGTACAGCAACTCGATTACAGCAAAGATGAAAGTGAAAAGGAATTTACTATTGCGTCATGCAACCCTAGTGGACATGTCGTTGCATTCGGAAGCTTTAACCGCATTCGTGTGCTCTCATGGAGCCCTCGTAAAGGTAAATGGGATGAATGTAAGTTAAAAGAAATAAAAAATTTGTACACTATAACGGCTATTGCCTGGAAGCAAGACGGTTCAAAATTGGTTGTTGGGACCTATTGTGGTGGGGTTGACATATTTGACTGTTGTGTGAAAAAGAAATTATACAAGAAAATTTTTGAATTAAATTATGTTGGACCAAGTCAAGTTATTGTAAGAAACTTGGAATCCGATGACACAATTGTTCTTCAGTCGAAATTCGGCTATGAAATCGACGATGTAAAAGTAATGGGTAAAAATCGATACTTGGTCACACATACATCAAATACACTGATACTTGGTGATCTTCGTGCGAATCAGTTAAGTGAAGTTCCATGGAGTAGAAAGAACCCCAAGGAGCGCTTCTATTTTGGTTATAATAAATTTTGCATAATATTTGGTTCTGGTGAATTGTATGTGATTGAATATGGAGTTAATGAAATATTAGGCTCAGTTAGAACTGAATTTACCACTCCGTTTCTAATAAGTGTTCGAGTGAACGAACGAAAGTCCAGCAATAATTGTACATGTAAAAAAATTGCCTATATGTTAGATCTGAAGACAATAGCTATTTTCGATTTTATAACAGGGTCAAATGTTGCACACGTTTCTCATGATAGAAAAATTGATTGGATTGAATTAAATGAAACTGGACAAAAGCTACTTTTTCGAGACAAGAAGCTTCAACTTATTCTATTCGATATAGAAACAGGTGTAAAAGTTATGCTACTTAACTTTTGCTACTATGTACAGTGGGTTCCTCAGAGTGATGTCATAATTGCTCAGTCCAAAGATAGTCTTTGCATTTGGTACAACACTGAATCGACTGACAGAATGACATCAATCCCATTGAGAGGCGGAGATATCACAGATGTCGTACGTCAGAATGGCAGGACTGAAGTTTTAATAAATGAAGGTGTGAACTCTGTTGCTTATGCTTTGGACGACAGTCGTATTGAATTCGGTACTGCAATGGATGATGGAGATCTCGAAAGAGCAGTTTCATTTTTGGAAAGCCTAGATGTAACACCTGAAACAAAATCTATGTGGACTAAACTAGGATTTGCCTCTTTAAAAACGGGAAATTTACTAATTTCAGAACAGTCCTTTGCTTCTTTAGGTTGTGTGAGCAAGTCACGATATTTACGGCAAACTCGAAACCTATTAATGGAAAACAAATTATCCAAGTCAAATGTTCAGGCATGCATTGCTATCCTTGAGAAAGACTTTCGAGCAGCCGAGAACATATTTTTATCACAAAATTCTATTGAAGATGTCGTAAAATTATACAAGGATCTACTTAAATGGGATGATGCTATTGAGGTCAGTTTAACATTTAATGGTTATTTTGCAAGTGTTGTTTGTTAAAATATACTAGTAAATATCAGAATGTTCACAAAAGCAAGATCATAAAGTTACTTATCATTAAATCATATTTAAATATTCTGAGGGCATAAGAATTAAAGTTATTTTTGGTTTGTAATTTCTAGTAAAATTGCTTTTAAATAACTAAACGATTATGTTGCACCAAAACTGGTCACTTAAATAAAAAATTGCTTCTGAAATTGAGAATTGAATTCCTCTTTCCTATACCTTTTATGATTGTGTATAGGCATTCTATGGATTAAAATTTTATTTGTGACAATGAATATCAAAATAAAACATTGTTATTGATTATTTTGTGCCTGTTATTACTTTACATGTTCATAAATTATCATAAAACTATCAGTTATTTGAGCATATACAAGTGCATTTCATAGTGATACAAAGCTAATAAGCATATAATCTTTTCTGAAATGTAAGTTTCCAATCTTACCTATGTGTAGTTTTTATTAAGTAATCTAATATTTTCCCTAAAAATACCCGAGCTTCCAATTTTAGGGAAATTTTGGTGTATTTTGGAGAAAATCCCGTAGTCAAATGACCTTCACCAATGTTTGGGGAACTTTGGGAAATTTCTGGGGAAGTTTCGGGGAAATCCCCAAAGTCAACTGACCTCGACCAAGGTCAAAGGGGAATTTTTGGAGAAATATTGGGGAATTTCCCTAGGTCTGGGGAAATTTTTGGGTTTTTGCGCCATTTTCCCTAAATTTTCCCAGAATTTCCCCAAAATGTGCCAAATTTTCCCCAAAATTGGGAGCTCGGGTACTTGTTTCGTTTTAATTATAACTTTTACATAGATTAACTAGTGTGACTTTAAAAAAATATATTTAAGGGTTGTTAACCATGAAATCAGGGATAGGCTGAGTCAATCTTTTGTTTGGAAAATATTACATACTACGTTTACTATTATTATTATGACAATGATATTACCAATATATGGATAACCAATATGTGGATTCCAAAAGCTTCATTAAAATGCATAAAAGTTTTGAATAACGAACTAAATTCATAAGAAAAAGAAGAAAAAATAATAACTTTTTCGTATTTAGTAGAAACACTTCTGATGTCGGATATTTCATATTGATTAATAAGTTATTTATACATAGTCTGAGATTTTCAACGCATATATGTTTGACATGAACTTGTTGTGTTGGTTAAAAGTTTTTCAAAATTTTCGTTCATTCAAATTGATCTCCATACATTTACGTTTTGTTGATAATATTTTATCATAGAAATTCTAGTCACCTTACAGGAGACGCTAGTAAATTGCTCCCTAATCTTTATTACTTTGTTTAGAAAGTAAAGTTAACCAAGTCAATTCTTGATGGGTCATTTGTTTTAGTCATATAAGTTCTCTTATAGCTTAAATAGTTTTACTAAAATTAGAAAATAGAATTGAATTCTAAAGTTCACGAAATGTCTAAAACATCATTTCTGTGTCATTGAGCATTTCAGAAAATATTTAATTAGTCAAACGTGACGTAGAATTTAGGACCTATGTAAATCGGTTTAAGTTTCCATACACCATAAACACAAAGAAATGAAGTTGTTAGAGCGAATTCTAGGCTTTTAGAGTGAGTAACAGTAATATTGGTGATGAAAAATTTCAGGTATCAAAGATACGGTTTGTAAAAGTATTAGTTGATCAGATAAGAAGGTTATCAAGAGTCCAGAGACTTGGAATCCAAAGAACAAAAAAGAGGAGATGCACCTGCGCCATTGGAACTGATTTTGAGTTATGTCATTCTACGTTCCTAACCACTGATTGCGATAATCACGTAAATCTCAACCAGGTAGTCTACGCTCATTAACATGGCTTATTACAATTGTAGCTTATGTCAACGACTGATGCCACGCCTTAGTTTGGTAGCTTCTAGCTTTACTCTAACCTACTTCGACACCAGACAATATCACCCGTCGACATAAGTGGTGGTTGGGCACACATAACACATATCCGAGCCACCTCACTTGGGGAAGATTTATGACTACACTAATTTTATACTGTTCGTTTCATTTCTAAGCTTTAGCCTCACAAAGACAACAGTTTTCAACCATAATCCTAATACCTGAGTAATAAAGACAATCCCAAAGTGGGAAATGGCATTCGTTAGTGTAGAAAAGTGTATGGAGTTGATTTAGTAAATCAGTGCATCTTAAATGCCAAACGTCACATTGAGAACTAGATGTTCTGTTTCTTATTTCCTTATACGATCAATGAGAAGTGTTAAATTGGAATGAACACCCATTTGGGCGTTTACAGTCTCCTAAATCTTGGTCAGAAATGAGATCTATCATCCAATAAACTACGTTTTTGCAAATAAATTGAGTGGTTTACCGATAGCCGATTTGTTTTTGGAATTTTGAGTCTGTTTACTTTTTGGTCATTTATATTAGATTGCCGAAGCTAAAAATTGGTCTGGTTTGGACAAACTCAAGAAAGATTATCACCATTGGTTGACGGAAACTGGACAAGAGGAGAAAGCTGGTGATTTACGTCAAAAAGATGGTGATTTTAATGGTGCAATAACATTATATCTTCGTGCTGGCGTACCTGGTAAAGCCGCACGTTTAGCATTAACTGAACCAGAAATTTCATCAGATAGAGTACTGGTGGAAAGAATCATTATGGTACGCTTGGAAAAGTTTTGGGCATGCTGCATATATAATGTCTTTCCTTTTTTAATATCTGTTTAGGTGTAAAAAACTAACAGCATATCTTAATGAAGTATTATACTTGAACTTGTTAAATGTGTGTAGCGGCTCAAAAGGTTGGTGATCTAGTCAATATCACTATCAGTAGTGGAGAGTTGTCCTAACGGAGGACAAAGGGAAGTTTTTCGATTTAACACTATAGTCTAGGAAGGTTGTCAGTTGAGGTGGGTAACATTTGATATTCATGAATAAAGGTTGTTATTTGTGTTCTCTTGATGTCAAGAGAAGTTTGTCTTGAAGTAAACACAGCGACCCACTATCTACAAGTGACCACCTCATATCTCTTTAAGTTGAGCTATGAAATTCGACAATAATAACTAGGTTTCAAATTACCGTATACCGTGCTTCAGTATCATTTTTTGATAGGCATGTATTAGTTTCATACTTAAATACACTAGAAAATTAGGTATCTTTTGTACTACTCGAAACTAAGCCAAATTAGGTATCGTGTATAATCAGTTCAACTTCATTTACTGGTATTATAAACTGCTTTAAGTCTTTTGTTACTTTGAATTAGTTTTGATCCGTTAAATGCCATGCTAGATTTTTTTAAGACACACAAAACTAGTGATGATTTTCAGCCGATTAATTATATTGGTGGACATATGTGTACCGGCGAGACTATAATTTATGGACGAACCAATCACGTATAAGAAAACAGGTCTCGTATTTTGGTGCGAAATTCACTCATCTATTTGGATAAATACAGTTTTGACATTATAGCTGATGTCGATTCGTGATGAAAACCCTAAATCTAATTTTTAATCTTAATCATCAACTGTAAATCATAATTCTAATTGTTCACACAGGTTTATAACCCTCATTTAGTCCTAGTTATTAGCTAAACACTCTCAAGGTCACGCTAGCGTCACTCAAAGGTCGTCCACAAATTATAATCTCACCTATATGCCTGGTCGTACGTTGTAGCTGACTGAATGATTGGTTGATAAAAGTATATACATATTGTTATATCCTAGCGAAGATTACATTACGAGTAACGTCTGAGACTTATTAATGGACTAATATTATTTATATATTCTTATGGTATAGATATTCAGTAGCTAGATTATGTATATTTATATTCCCCTTATTATAAGCTTTATTTTGACCTATATATTATTATTGTACGATTTACTGTTCTTAAGCTATGCTCAGTTTATTGACTACTGCCTCCCACGTTCACAGCCACTTTTTGGCTTTATTGTGCATAAATGTTATTTCCTATTTTATGATGCGTTGCAGTCTGTTTGATTGATATATAAACCCAGTATGTCTGAGATAAATGATTCAATTTGATTCGCATAGTGGAAGCTGGTATTTGTGTTCTGAACTCAAGTGGACGGGTTAGGCGGACATAAGACTAATGAGGACACTAGGTTGCTTATACTGGTCGAACATCATTGGTTTGGCACAGTGCTAAGATTGTATAAGTCGTATTTTGATTGGTGGATAAATCATGTGACAAAAAGCTGGACAAAGTTATAATACATATATCTGTAATAACTATGATGCACAATTGTCAATTATCCTTAATTAAAATTCAGTAGTATACTGTTGCTAATATGATTGGTAATTTCATTTTAAATTTATGATATTTGAAGAATAATAAATTTCTCTAGTGACAACTTATAACATTAAAGTGGACCATATACACAAAAATATTGATAATAATTGACATTTTGGTTAGTTTTGTCGTATTTTACACTGTACAGGAACTAAAGACTTGTCAAAGAAGTCAATCATTAAAACAAAAGAGATAGAAAGTATAAGATGATAATATGTTTAGTGCCGTTTGAGAAAACATCAAAGAATTATACAACTATGACGAAGTGACCAACTCAAAGTTGTGTTAATTCAAGTGTTTACAGATTAATTTCGTGATAATTTGGGGATTTCACCGTTAGGAAGTTTATGATGTAGGCAATGAATTATCATGGTTAGGTCATTAACTAGCTACTTCACTCTGTAATGGTGCTGTGGTGAATGAGAACACCATTGAGGACAATCGAATGTACTTACTTTTCCTTTGTGTATGTTGAGGCCTACTGATGCAGAGGCTGCTGCTACACTAATTGTCTTCATCCTCATTTGTTAGTGTGTATGGCATATAAGGGCCAGGTCATCTACGAAATTGAAATCTAATTGATTCCGAGCTTTCCATTGTATTCCGTGTTTCCTCTCCGATGTTCAGGGTCTTCATAAATCAATCAACCACCAGGAGAAAGACGAAGAGGGAGCGATGATATAAGTAATGGCTACTATCTAAAAAAATCATCAGTTCATGGATAGGATATGTGTCCGCTAATTTGTAGAGCATCTGCTTCTCAATGTCCAATATACGTGCAATATATGCAGCATTTTTCCGTTCATTTCATAAAAAGTATCTTTTTAGTTGTTTTTTGTATTATCCGTTGATATATTATAAACTACAGTCGATTAGTATCTTGGTATTTATGCAACCTTAGAGGGTAGCATCGGTATTTCTGCATGATTCACAAGTTTTTATTAAAGTTGGGTCATGTCTAGCAATGGAATCCAGGATTCATACTTTATCCTATGTGGGACGTGTCAACTGGATGTACGTACGTCCCAGTGTGGATAATCACTCAGGAAAACACCAACACAAATAAATCAAATTCACCTCCTTTGTACAAGCCAATTACTATCTGTACTCAGTGGCTCAACTGGTTGACCATTTGAAACAAAAGGTACTCGGTTCGAGTCGCAGTATAAACATCAACAGTGGGACGCGGTACTTTCATCTGACAAGTCCCAAATAGGAGAGAGCACGTGTCTTGAATCCCATTGTTAGCCACCACCGGACTTCAACGAAAATCCTTTTAATTTCCCCTTACTTCCCCCCTTTTTATATGAAATTCTTAAAAAAAGTCATTAACTCAATGTGAACTGTATGAAAAAGCTGGTGAACTATATCAAAATTTGGGTCAATCAGAGAATGCATTGCGTTGTTATCGTCAAGGTAATTGTTATCAAAAAGCAATCGAATTAGCTAGAATATCTTTTCCATCAAATGTATTACAATTAGAAGAAGAATGGGGTGATTATTTAATGACAAAACAACAAATGGATAATGCAATTAATCATTTCATTGAAGCTGGGTAAGTAAATATTTGATAATTTATAATCGATCGGCATAAACGCTGCTTATCAAAACCTGCAGTCACACCCGTTACAACACACAGGTAAATCCCATGATAGGGAAACTACTACGCAAGTTTGTACTGCTGCTGATGTCGTTCAGAAGAACGATGAAAGCCCCACGACCAAACCATTCAGCTCAGAGAACAAAACTCCATCAAAATCATCCACTTGAGCTACAAATCTTCCTCACCATCTCAAAACTACTATGCATCACTGAGATTCTATTATTCAGTGATGTTATTTAGAAATATCCGTAAAAACGGATCAAATTAAAACATTATAAAATCAATAATATAGTGAAACATAAAAATTGATAAGAAAAACGGCATTTAAGATTAATCTCAGTCTGTTGTCTCGGTGATTTAACGAACGTGACTATACTCATTGATTGATATTAAACTCAAAATTAATTTACATAGGAATATCGCTGCTAAATTTCAGTGTTCAAGAATGAATTTCATTTATGTTTTAAAGAATTTTAAAGTGCTTCATACATAATGGTCTTGAGTGCTGTCAGAAATATGAAGGTGGTTATCACTTCCCGGTTACCCACACCATAGAAGGGTTATTCTAGAGGTATCTGAAAAATAAATTGGATTAAAGGTGGTCTTAATGACCTGAGAACGTGACCGCAGTACCAAAGGGACAACTGCTTGAGGTCAGTCACACATGACCTTTCTGTGAGTAATTTTCGTGTTAGCTCCGTACTTATTGAAACCTTACCACCGGAGACGGATATCCATGGGATAAGGCGAGGTGTGCATTTTTAGGGTCGACCTTTTCTAACCCCACCCCTCCTTGTGGGAAGGCAGCATCGCTGTTATGCTGGTTGTCTGAAGGAAACACCTTACTACCGTCACACCGCTGTACAATCAGCAGTACGACTTCGCCCTCAGACCTTGGGCTTGCTACTTTTAGTCTTGCCTCTCTCCAACCGATCTGTCTGGCATAACAGGACCTTGAGGAATGATTGTTGCAGCCAGTATCGTTGGATTGATTCATCACGATAAGCAAGCCCGACCTCCACGTCGAGGTAGCAGCAACTATTTTTTTTCTCTCTGCATAATATCTTTATATGCAATCTTTCTATTACATATTGCTACCATTGAAGTAACTACTTCTATGAATTTCGCGTTCATTTTGTTGTAATAATGAGGTGTGGCAACTCGGACCAATGCATATATGTACCTGGTCCTACGTTGTAGCTGACTGACTTAATACACAGATTAATTTGCTGACTGTAGCTAATCATGCTTGTTAAATCTATCGAAGAGTCTAGGTCACCCAATTGAGATACGCGCGAAACCGAAGTTCCAAAACAACGATTTGTCTACAATAGCGGTTCTTTATTGAATAATACACAAAATTTAGTTACAAACCTCAACTTGTGAGGTGTCTAGGGCGTTTAAACGCGTCCTTCAAGTATGAAATAAAAAGGCTTCCTGTAACAGTAACGTAAAGAATAATTACAACATACGATAGTACAAAGGACAGCTGATTGCTGTGTCTAAATTTGATAACAGTTTATGAACAACCGAAACCCGAACCAAGAGCAAAACAATATGGAAACTGTTGCGTCTAAACAAATGCACAAAACTGTGGATAACCGCTATAGTAATTAAGGTAAAGTAATTATAATGATAAATACAATCATAAGTACAATAAATGTTATAAGTATATGTGAATATTTCCGAATATTACACTACAACTTGCGTTACAACATAAATTTAAAAATTGTTGGGAATACAACTGCTTACTGAATGTAAATAAGTAGTATAAAACAATATACAAAGGAGTGGGAAGGGAGCGAGTAGGAACAATGTAAGACAAACCTAACAATGCTCTTCAGATGAAATTAAAAGATATAGACATTTCACAATAAAGAATGGTTTATTGCTTCAAGTGTGTCGTAATGACTAGATTCTATTCTTTATTTGTAGAAGAAATGTTTCACTATCGGATAACTCAATAGTAACGTCTCTGGCTGTGAAGCTGGGTGACACGAGATCGAATCCTCCAGGGAGCACCAGTTCCCCCAAGATTACAGGTACACCTTGCTGACGAGTGCCAAATAGCACGAAACCTGGGCCCAGGGTTTCCTGTCGACTATCTCCAACCACCATCTGATTTCAATATATAGTGCCCGCAGTGTCGAGTCACCTAGACTGGTGGCCACATTGCAACATGATCGACAGCATTCGATCTGCACTAATAAGGACTAGACACGCGTGACATTGATCGCCACTCAGTGATCAATCAATTGTGAAATGTAAAATGTTTATTTTGTTTGATCAAGTTATATTTATCAACACTTTTTTTGGTGCATAACACGTTAATAAGTTAATCAATATGAATTTAATATCAATATCTTGGATCATGATAAGTGAAATAACTTTGGATTATGAAACATTACCAGTAAGAAACTATTCAAAATCTAATTTATCACATTGATAAGATAACAATGGTAACTCTGATTAGTGGCTAGTTAGTTTCACTAATAAATGAACTATATGTTAATATTAATAGTTGAATTCATGAGTCAATCTAAGCTAGATCATCATTGAAAACCTGGCACCATTGGAATGCCGCTTCGTCCTAGTATGGGGGACTCCACATCAGTGTTCATGTGAATAACTTGATTAGAAATGTTCTGAAATTTTGTATATTCTCCCAGCTCAACATGGTATCAAAGTTCATGAGAAGCTAACAATGTATAGAAAAAGTATATTACTTTACTTTTGTTTCTTAAAAATAAACTTTCTAAGTTTATGTTAGGTCCCGATAAACATAATGAATGGTAACTTTTGGAATCCATTTATAAACCATTACTGTGCGTATATTTTTGTTGTATAATTGTTAATTAGCTAAACTATTCATATTCATGTTCCTCTTATTATAAGCTTTATTTTCACCTATGAACTATTATTATACGTCTTACCATTCTTGAATTATGCCCTGTCTATCAGTCACTACCTCGCACATTCACAGCCACATCAGGCTAATTCTTGTACAAAAGTTTCCTATTTTATTGGTACGTTGTGGTCTGTTTGATTGTTATATAAACTCAGTATGTTTGAAATATAATGATTCATATTGCAGAGGCTGAGACTGGTATTCTGGACTTAACTGGCTGGACTAGGCGGAAAGCAGGGCCAGTCAGGACTCTAGGCTGCTCGCAAGTGTTTTACGCGTCCTTGGTCCGATCGATTAGTCATTGCCCTCTAATCGGCGGTCACAAGTTATAACAGTTTATGAGATGTAGTACTGAATATGACTGCAAACAATAAACATAAATCCATGGTTCTGAGAAATTTCATCAGTGAAATCTAACTTAATCATGTGTTTATTTTTAGCTTCACTTAATGCATATCTCAGCAAGTATAATTTTACGTTTTCCCTAAATACATAAGAATTTTGTCGAATTACTTCCTTGCATAGTTATTAACTGACTACAGATAAAATAGAAAAACCCATACTCCATTACTTCATTTACAAAATGTTCATTCATTGTCTTAGACTTCATTGTTCCTGTATTTCTATATCAATTGTTTTCTGTTTCGGTTCTTCTTTCCTCAATCTTTTCAATCTTCTGTTTGATAGGTTTTACATTATATGACCGGAACCGAGATTTTGTTGACACTAGACTGAATACTCTATCAATAGGCTATAAACGAATTGGATCATGTCTTAGAAGATAAAAGAATCATGACAAAAAATCGAAGAACTTGAGTGTAGGATAGACAAAAATTTATCCAATTCAATTACAATCAGCTTACACTTAATAAGTCTAGAGTAAGAATCAATGGTAAGGAAGAAGTTACATACTTAATAGTAAGATAGGTATCGGCGACTAATCATTAGCCACACATAAAAAACAATGTCAGTTTTAGCGTATATCGCACTTCGTCCAAGTTGTGTTTTTTTTATGAGCACAATGTTATATACTTGGCAATTGACAGAGATGAATGTATGATTCAGGCTTTAGGATCCCCCCCCCAGTTTATGACAGAATCACGTATCTCTGCATTTTAGTAGCTTTCAGGCTTGAAACCTTGTTATTCATAGAGTATGATAATAACTGAAGTATAGTTAGGCTTAAAACGACTGTGTTGTATACATTTGGTAGATGGATCAAGCATATTTTTTGCATATACTGATTTCCTTTAGGCAAATTTAGCATTCAACAAGTTTGACTTGTAATTTAACTATTATTTCCCTCAACCTCAAACCGAAGGACGTTGTTTTCTTAGGGGCCATACCCCAGGCCTTTGACCTAAAGGTCTAATCCGCATGGCAGTTGAGCAAAGTAAGGAGATGCAGTCACATGATAGTCGGTGACCAACAATAGGTTCGTACACTATCTGCCCCCCTCAGGATTCTGGAGCTAATGAGTACCATTGGTTTGTAATGAGGGTTTTCCAACTCCCATAGATGGATCCTCCATACCCACCAACTCGGTTAAATCGTCGAACATTAGCTTTTCGTCCTCTCAATTTCATAAACAACACCCGCGCCACAAGAAGGCTGGGGTAGGTCTTCCCTGACAATGGCTGTATACGCGTGGCCATATGAGAGTATTTCTATAGGAAGAGCTGACTCTTTTCACTTTCGGCTGTATCTGGACATTTAGGAGTATCCGAGGAGAATTTATTCCAAAGAATACTCTTAATGTTTTAATATGATGTAGATTTTGTTTCATAATTATAAATTTATTTCTATTTCAGTGCATACATTAAAGCTACTGATGCAGCAATCAATTCTTGTCAATGGACAAAAGCTTCTCATATATTAAATTCAATGGAAAATAAAAAATCCTCTGAACAATTATCACCATATTTTCTTAAACTTGCTCAACATTATATTGGATGTCGTGAATACAATGCAGCAGAACAAGCATTTATTAAAGCGAATCAATCAAAATTAGCTATTAATATGTATATTTCAATAGGAATGTGGGAAAAAGCACATCAACTCGCATCTTCAATTATGGATCAAACAGAATTAACTAAGTAAATATGTTCATTTTAATGATTTAATAGTAAACTATGAATTCTTATAAGCAGACGTGATAGTTGCTAGCAATGGAATCCAGCAAGCACATTTCTCCCTATTTGGGATTGATCAGCTGGATGTATCTGCAACCCAGAGTTGATGTTTTTTTTGGGGGGGGGATTTGAACCCAGTACCATTCGTGCGTCCTGAATTTTACTGCTATCCACCATCATCTCTGCTTATAATACTTGTGATTAATTGTTTATTTAATATATCCATGAAGTTACAGAAGAAACAATCTCTTAAAACGTAATCAGTAAAAGTGTTAGGTAGAATTGTTCCATTTTAATTTTTGAAAGAATTTCTTTCATAAATTTGTTACAAGTGGTCAGTTGGGTTGTTAAAGAGCGGTCACTCACTTCTGGTCTGAGCCATGTTGGCAGATGCAGACTACTTGGTTGGGGGCCTCTGTGACTATCGTATCCAATCGTTGGGAACTCTTGGTGACATGGCCCAGAATCGATAAAAATGGCGTAGGTGTGCACACTCCCTGTCTTCCTTTAAACTATGAGATTAGAATCGCTCCATATCTTTCTTTCTACCAACTAATATTTTCTTCCTGTACGATATCCTTAAACACAATCTTTCTTACATAAATTACCATCATTGAATTAACTACTTCTATGAATTTAGTGTTAATCTTGCTGTGCTAATGAGGTATGGCAACTTGGACCAATACATATATGTGCTTGGTCCTACTTTGTAGCTGACTGACTGACTGACTGAGGTTATGATACTAACTGAATGATTTTCGATCATTCCCGACTTTTTGGTTGAAACAGAAGAGATTCTTAATTTTATTTGTCATAATATTAAAGTTTTGACCCTCTAATGTAATGAAACCGTTCTGTGTCCTATGATCTACAATAAATAGTCCGTTATTGTTTGTATGTGACTGGAACTATCTTAACGTTTATTCAAGTCTTTGGAATTGTCAATTTGTCTGAAAACACACTATAAGTACTTTTATTACCTCATATTACACAACAGTTTGTTGACCAAATCTCAGAACCTAACCGGTACCTTCAAATGTTTCAATTTAATTAACGCTTATTTAGAAAAAACATGAAGACAGTTCACTACTTTATCGACCGATTTGTCATCTTCAAGTGGTACGCTGAGTCTAATTTCAATATTCCTCACTAGATTATCCCAATATCCTCGAGAGATGCTTCGAAGGGATCTATCGTCAAATATGAATATCCTCTATTTTAAGAGATCATTTTTTTCACACTGTTGACCTAAGATCGTACAGAGTGATTGAATTCACAATCTTTAAGCTTTGTGACTACGCGATAATTGCATTGAGTCTACTTAGTTACTATCCAATAGATGAAAATTTCAATTACTGAACTGTCACTATGAATTAAGCCATTATAAGTTATTATGTTTTCTGCTTATTTTAGAGAATTACCCATTTTCATATTATTATTATTATTATTATCATCATCATTATCCTCCATTGTTCTATTTCATTCCAACTAGTATGTATTTGTCACATGCTGAAGAATTTGAAAAAATTGGCAATTACAAAGAAGCTGAACGTTTATACTTAACTGTTAAAGAAACTGATCGAGCAATAACCATGTATAAAAATACACGTCAATATAGAGAGATGTTACGTTTAGTTAAACAATTCAATGCTGATTTATTAAATCAAACTTATTTACATTTAGCTGAACAATTTCAAAGTGAAGGCAATTTTAAACAAGCAGAACAGTATTATTTAGAGGTATGAATGTGTAATTACATTTTTCTTACCGTTTAGTGGCGGAGATATTACAAATAATTTAGGTAGAAATTGTTTATAAGTCTTCCCCAATTTGTGCCAAAGTTGCTTCGGTTTGGGCACCCGGGCAGTATCACAGCCCTCACACATATCGAATGGGATTTGTGTGGCGCATATGTATTTGGTGCCTCCTTGTACCAATGTCTATGTGTTAAAATAATAATAAATAAATTTGCTATGAGAGAAAAGAGGATACCTTAAGACACAGTGCTGAAAAAGAAGTTGGTTTTTATAAGTGTCGACTCATGAGTTACTTATTTACTTATCGACGCCTGTTACCATTTGTGGAGGAGTATAGGCTGCTCATCATCATTCTCCATTGAACTCTCTCCTGGGCACAATTCTTTCCAGTTTCTATTCATTCTCTTGGTGTCTGCTTCCAATTCTCGATGTAATGTATTCCTTGGTATCCCTCTTTTCCGTTTCTCTTCAGGATTCCAATTAAGAGCTTGACTTGCGATTCAGTTTGATAATGTCCGCAATGTATATGTCCTATCCAATCATGAGTAGCTAGACTTAACTATTCTCTACTCATTGATGTTCACAAATTTAGAACAACTCATTTACTGATTACACTTTCTTGTATTCGTCTTCAAGCCACAATATTATTTTATTTGACCGTGTGAATTGAAGTAGATACAGAAAAACTAAAAATTGTAGCGAATAGTTCAGTTATGACAACGGATAGAATGTTTACAGTATCTGATAGATCATTCCAGAATTATGATTATCAGAGAGAATTGTTGATGGTTCCGTAAAAACATTGATAAACAAGTAAAAAGTACTATGAGCTGATGGTAAGTGTGGTTTTGAGAGACAGATACACTTAAAAACATCAGAGAAACAGCCTACTGTTTGGTCTTTGTGTGAAACTCTTCAGTAGCGCCTAATCGAAACTATAAAAATGTCTTTCTTTATAATTTGTAAGTTACAACTGAGCAGCCTTCTATCTTCCGTAGTCTCATAATATAATAACCAATATCTAGGTACTTTTGTGAATATGAATCCTTCCACAGTCCAAACAAGATACAAGATATACAAAGCCATAAGACTGTATGATCATTTTCAAAGTGCAGATATAAACGGAAGATCTATAGACATTTTTTTTACACACAGACACCAAACATAGAAATCCTTCACAGACAAATTAACTTACTGTCCATTACTTATGTGATGACTATAAGTCTTCAGGATATTTTGGATCTAAACTTTAGATATTTTGATTGCTTACTGAGTAAATTTTATTGTTTTCTGTTTTAAAAATGATTCCAGGCTAAAGATTGGAAATCAGCTGTAAGTATGTATCGTACAATTGATCGATGGGAAGATGCTTATCGTATTGCATCAAGTTGTACAGAACAACCGGAATTACGCAAACAAGTAGCATATTTATGGGCAAAACATTTAGGTGGTGAATCAGCAGTACGTTTGTTAACACGTTTAAGTTTAATAGAAAATGCTATTGATTATGCAACAGAACATTGTGCATTCGATTTTGCATTTGAATTAGCTCAATCTGGTTCTTGCACTGAACGCTTACCTGAAGTTCATAATAAATATGCAATGTTCTTGGAAGATGAGGGAAAATTTACGGAAGCTGAAGAACAGTTTATCAAGGTGATATCTTTTCAGAAAAAATAAATGTTTTTTTTATATATTTGTAATGTTAAACTAGAGCATAGTGATATGACAAATAAATTCGCGATGGCAAGTTCAAGATCACGGAGTACATCCAAACTAAAAATGCCTAGTGTATACAAGTTTATGTGTAATTTTTAAGAAAAAGTCATTATCTATGACTATGGATCCTTATGAAGAAAAGTTAGAAAGAAGATAAATTTTGTAAGTTGGTGGTTGAAGGTAATCCATAAGAAGCCCTGCTCAACCTATGTTTGGTAATAGTCAGCAAGGAGTACTTTTAATCTATAGGGAACTGATGCTCTCTATCATGGGATTCACCAAAAAGCATCAATTCCTTCAAGATTACTGATACACCTTGTTAGTATAGTTTCAGTGATCGTTCGCTATCGTTTATTTGACATAAAACTAACCACTCTTTTGCATGATTAATTGGGACTTACAACCATAGAAACTGTTAAGAATTTATTATAACCAGTATTCTTCTTTTATAGATCTGTGTTTTAATGTAATTCAATTTTCGTAACTTTATTCATTTATTAGGCAGGTAAACCTAGAGAAGCAGTACTTATGTATGTTCACAATCAAGACTGGGATTCAGCTGCACGTGTTGCTAGTGAACATGATCCAGATAGTATAAATGATGTATTGCTTGGACAAGCTAGATTAGCATTTGGAGAGAAAGAATTCGCTCAAGCTGAAGCACTTCTCTTAAGAGCTCAACGTCCTGATATGGCAGTACGTGTATATCGTGAGGCAGGTATGTGGGAAGAAGCAATACGGGTAGCTGAAACATATTTACCTAATCGAGCTGAAGAGCTAAAGGTAAGTTTATATTAGTTCGTTGGTCATTAATTTTTTTTTTTAAGCTGAAGGGTTTCGGTTAATTTGTATTTTAGTAACACAGGCTAGTCAGGTTTGAAATGGTAATTTTTATACTTTGTCACAGAATACAAGATATAACACTATCAGTCGCTTAATAAATGAGTTTATAAAAAATAACCTTGCATATTAATTTAGGCGATTTAATTATGATACAGCAAAACAAACATACTAAAACAATACTCAGGTACACAATTATTGTGAATTTGCAAATTATTCTTCGGAAAAGTCCATAGAGGCCCAGCAAACTTGGACAAACAGCGTTGAATAAACGCTTCTCAAAGTATTGAAAAAGTTGAGAGTCACGAGTTATGTTTCTGGCTAGATGTTTCCCTACACTGCTATCATATTTTGTATAGTTCAAAAACTTTTATAAGCTCAAGATCATGTATAATCTCGTAAATACCCTCGTTTTTCTGTGCGTAAAGTAACCTTAGAGTAAAACGTTCTTTTCATAATTCATGCCTTTTCTCTTGTGTTCAAGTTTCTTCGTAGATCTAATCTGGGGTTATTAGAAGTAGCTAAGAAATAGGATCGTATGTTCGTTTGGAAAACTTATTAATAATATATTAATGCTTACTCGTCTTGACGTGTATTGTTCATTAAGGATAGATCAATCAAGATTAAATCTTTGTTTGTTTGAATGGGTTTTATTTATTGAGAACTTCTATTATAATGTATTTATTGGTGAATAAGCATTTCTATTATATATGAATGTTTAGGTAGATTTGGATACAATCACCAACCTGTTTTCTACTAATACTATTTCGAACGCAAGTTTGAAGTAACAGATTCCTAGATTAGCCGATCTCTATGCTTATCAGACAATAAGGGACATATTCAGGAGAAGGTGTGTTCCTCAAATAAAAGCATGAGAATTAAGTCGAACCACTTACTCAATACAAATCATGGAATACTGTCTCATCAAGATAGAATATTAGTTATGAAATGAAATGAATTCAACAGTGTATTTAGAAATTATGCCAACTGTCCATAATAAACTGGAATGTAGAAATATAGGTTACAAAGAAGACCACATGATAAAATAATAATAATAATATTGCAAAAATCATGAAAAAGTTCCACTTAACTATTGTAATAAGAATACAACTGAATAGAATATGAAGTTTATTGTGTCAAAGATATGACATACTTTACGGAACAAAGTCATTTAAGTAGTTAATTCTGAACTACTGATTAAAGATAATAAGTAGTGTGAAGCAGCTCACATAAAATCTGCGAGTGAAGAAGTAAAGCCTGTGGTAGATGATAAAGAGATACACCTCTGTATGGAAACTCGATTTCTCCTCATAAAGCCTTAATTAAGTCTTATCTGTTAAAATGACATATGATTTAAAATGGTAGCTTTTCATATTTTTTTTAACAATAATACACTTTAAACTTAAAAGGAAGAACTACGCGAAGAAAGAATGCATGCAATAACGGGTGGACCAAGATTATCCAATCGTAAACAATCTACTGATGATCGAAACACATCATATTCAGCAATTAATGAATTGAAGAATTCAACTACAAATACTTATTTTATACAAGCAAGAAATTATGAATCCAATGGGGAATATTTACGTGCAGTTGAATATTATTTAAAAATTACTCCTAATACAAATTCTATGGATAATAATCCAAATGATTCAATTAAACAATCTATTACACCAGATTTATGTGAAAATGCTTGGTTACATGCTGTTAGTTTAGCAGTGAAATTTTTACCAACTGATAGTTCAGTTAAAGTGACTGAATTAGTAGCTTCACGTTTAGCATCAATTCAAGTAAGTAATTTATAAGAATATTATTGATTATTTGAATGAGACTATCATTTATGAATAATCTTTGATGAACACTTAAGTAACTTTCAGAACATTCACTAACCTACTAAGATCTAAAATGTGTTATAAAGTAGTGAAAGAAATCAGAATCGTGGCTTCGCGTGGAGCTATTGTCCGGAGGAGAGTTGGCTATGGGGTTACCTACCCTATCCTGTAAAACTAACTCGCTAAAAAACGCCAACCACAAAAAATAATTCAAACTATTTAAACTCTGCCCTTGGAGTTAGAAGGTTTTCATTTAGAAGAGTTATGACACCTCATGATGAAAGTCGAGCTCCTTCGGAAGTCACGAGGTTAATACCCCTCTTGATAACCAGATCAACCATTAATTTAGGTACATGAAATGCTCATATAATGTCGGAGACCGAGAGAGTTATCCTAATTGCTGCAGAAATGAAAAGACAACTTAGAAGTGCTTGGAATCAGTGAAACACATTGGATACAGGTTGAACAACAAAGACTAGCTTCAGGGAAGCTTCTGTTATACTGCATCCATGAAGAAGAAAATGCTCCACATACACAAGGAGTTGCACTGACACTAACCAAACAAGCACAAAAAGCACTCATAGGATGGGAATCTCATGGACCCAGGGTCATCAAAGTCTCCTTCGAAACAAAGAAAGAGGGCATTAAAGTGAACGTCATCCAATGCTAAGCGCCTACCAACGATTAAAATGAAGACGTTAAAGATCAATCCTACGATAGGCTACAGTCGACCGTTGAGAAATGCCCAACAAAGGAGTTGACCATTCTGAAGGGAGACCTAAATCCCAAGGTTGAAATGGACAACACCGGATATGAAGACATCATTAGACGACATGGACTAGGAGAAAGGAATGAAAATGGTGAGAGATTTGCAAACATATGTACCATCAATAAACTGGTCATAAGCGACACCATATTTCCACATAAACGCGTCCACAAAACCTAATGGATTTCACTAGGTCACACTACAAAGGACCAAATCGACCATATCTGCATCAACAAAAAGTTCAGGTGGACGATGGAAGACGTGAGAACCAAGAGAGGAGCTGATATGGCATCAGATCATCACTTGCTGATCGCCAAGATGAAATTGAAACTCAAGAAGCATCGAACAACGGGGCGGACAATATCACAAAAGTTCAATACGGCCTTTTTTCGGGATACTGACAAACTCAACAAATTCAAGATAGTCCTCAGCAATAGGTTCCAGGCCTTTCACGACCTACTCAATGGAGAGGGAACTACTATGGCGAGCAACTGAAAAGGGATCAAGAAGGCAATCACTTCAACATGCCATGAGGTTCTGGGTCACAAGAAGCACCATCACAAGGAACGGGTCACTGTTGATACACTGGATAAGATTCAAGAGAGGAGGAACAAGAAGGCAGCAATCAATACCAGCCGAACAAGAGCACAGAAAGTCCAGGCACAAGCAGAACACACAGAAGTGAAGAGGAGCATCAAAACCGACAAACGTAAATATGTGGAAGATTTAGCAACGACGGCTGAAAAGGCTGCAAGAGAAGGAAACATGAGACAACAGTATGATACAACAAAGAAACTCTCTGGAAATTATCGTAAACCAGAACGACCAGTGAAAAGCAAGGAAGGTAAAGTAATTACCAACTTCGAAAAACAGCGAAACAGGTGGGTAGAACACTTCAAAGAACTGTTGAATCGACCAGCCCAACTGAACCCACCCAACATTGAAGTAGCACCCACGGACCTCCCAATCGATGTTGGCTCACCAGCAATTGCAGAGATCAACATGGCTATCAGACAAATGAAGAGCGGCAAAGCAGCGGAACCGAACATTCCAGCAGAGGCACTGAAAGCAGACGTACCAGTAACTGCAAAGATACTCCACATTCTCTTCAGCAAGATTCGGGATGAAGAATAAGTACCAACAGACTGGAAAAAAAGATACCTGATCAAGATACTGAAGAACGGTGATCTCAGCGAGTGTGAGAACTATAGAGGCATCACTCTCCCCCCAATACCAGGAAGATTCTTCAACAGGGTATTGTTAAAAGAATGAAGGACTCCGTAGATGGCCAACTTCGAGACCAACAGGCTGAATTCCGTATGGGTAGATCGTGTACAGACGAAATCACAACACTACGGATCAGTGTGGAACAATCAATTGAATGGAATTCATCACTCTACATAAACTTCACTGACTACGAGAAAGCATTCGATAGCGTGGACTGGACAACACTGTGTAGGCTTCTTCGACAATACGGCGTGCCTGAGAAGATAGTTTATATCATACGGAATTCCTACGATGGATTAAACTGCAAAATTGTGCATGGAGGACAGCTGATAGACTCGTTCGAAGTAACGACCGGTGTTAGGCAAAATTGCTTACTGTCAACCTTCCTCTTTCTCCTGGTAATCGACCGGATCATGAAGACGTCAACATCTGTGAGGAAGCATGGGATACAGTGGACATCTAGGATGCGGCTGAACGATCTAGACTTCGAAAATGATCTGACTCTTCTATCGCACACGCAACAACAGATGCAGTAGAACACGACAAGTGTAGTAGCAGCCTCAGCAGCAGTAGATCCCAACACACACAAAGGGAAAAGAAAGATTCTCCGATGCACCAATCCAATCACAATTGACGGAGAAGCTTTGGAAGATTTAAAAACCTTTACATAGCTGGGCAGCATTATTGATGAACAGGGTAGATGTGATTGTTGTGTCCCGATAAAAATATACGTACAGTATACTGTCCGATTTGTTTTCTGTTTCGTGGGCGGTTTCTACGACAATCCCATGAACATTAAACATGGAATCTTCTTGCGAACTGGATACGTCACTGTTTGTACAAGGTGTTTCGAGGATAATGGAGTTTGAATCTAATACCGGGCATGTTTCTGAAATGGAGAGTACTGGACCACCAGGCGGATCTTGAATGACTGCTGTTTCGTTTGAAGTACGGTTTATCGAGGATTCATGAAGGCTGCAGTCATTTCCCAGCTCACTGTGCAATTGAGAAATGAATCCATTCACTTCCATCGCATCTCCAAAGCATGAGTGATCCAGCAGCTGCGTGTGTAATTCAACTAAGAACTCCAACTGTCGCTCAAATAGCAGCTGTAATCGATCGGAAGGAAGAGTCATTTTTTTATCAGCACCGGTAATGAAAATTGCTGTATGAATAATAACCAATGCCGTTCAAGGACAGTGATGACAAATCTGGATGCTGATTGCCCGAAATAATTAGACTGAATTTCGTCCAATTACAGAATGACTTGGGATCGTATTTTTTTCCCGTCGCCAACTGTTATATCTTGTGACCGTCGATCGGAGAGCAGTGATTTATCGACCGGATCAAGGACGCATAAAACACGTACAAGCAGCCTAGAGTCCTGATTGATCCTGCTTCCCGCCTAGCCCAGCCAGTCAAGTTCAGAATACCAATCCGAGTCTCTGCGATATGAATAATGTATTTCAAACATACTCGGTTTATATACCATACAAGCAGACCACAACGTACGATAAAATAGAAAATAACATTTGTACAAAATTTGGCAAAATGTGGCTGTGAATGAGGGAGGTAGTGGGCAATAGACAGGGAATAATTCAAGAATGGCAAATCGTATAATAATGGTTCATAAGTCAAAATAAAGTTTATAATAAGAGGAATATGAATATGAATAGTTTAGTCAATTAACAATTATACGATAAAAATATACGTATAGTATTGGTCCACAAATAGATCCCCAAAAAATACCACTCATTATTCTTATCGGGACACAACAGTGATGTAGATGTGAAGGCGCAGATCGGCAAACCAAGAGCAACATATCTACCATTGAAGAACATCTGGAACTCAAAACAACTGTCTGTCGACCAACACCAAAGCCAGAATTTCCAATACAAATGTCAAGGCAGTTCTACTGTATAGGGTGGAAACTTGGATAACTACGAAAGCCATCATGCCAAAGATACAAGTGTTTATTAACATCTTTCCACGCAAAATACTTCGGATCCGTTGGCCAGACACTCAGATTGGTGTTCTGGACTTAACTGGCTGGGCTAGGCGGAGAGCAGGACCAATCAGAACTCTAGGCTGCTCACACGGGTTTACGCGTCATTGATCTGATCGATAATTCACTGCCGTCTAATCGGCGGTCACAAGTTTGACAACATATAGCGCTTTCGATTGATTTGTCAATGATGTCGTTAGAAGTTGACCATCAAAGTAGTTTGACTGATAGTAAAATGGAATATTCAAAAGTATTTACAATAAACCCCACGTTTCAATGTCAGTAGTACTTTCAGTAAAACCAAATGAATATAACGTGTGAACGTTTTGGTAATGATATGCTCTCTCTGCAATAACTAGTTTAATTGTTAAACTATTACTGTTATTCACAATATTCTTCAAGTCAGTCAGTAATAAGCAATATAGAACCTGGAATATATGTCCATCTGTTCAAATTGCTACATCACATCAATACGGCATGGTGTAATCAACACGATGAACACCGAAGTGTTGAGTTGGGGCTGGGCTAGGCGGAAAGCAGGACCAATCAGGACTCTAGGCTGCTCGCACGTGTTTTATGCGTCACTGGTTCGACCAATAATTCGTCGCTCTATGATTGGCAGTATCGTTGCGTTATACAATAAACAGGGCACACAAATTCACAAGTTATAACACGAAGTAGCAGAAGTTTTTGGATCACTGGTAGTAAAGAAAAAATACTAGTCACAGTGAAAATAATTTGACAAGAAAGTGTAAACTTGTGCAATATAATAATTTTTTAACTGAAGATCTATAATAGACAAACAAACAGTAAATGTATGTACATCGTTGTAATCGATCTTAATTCATACGATGTAATGTTTGCGAATATTGGTCACGGTAATCGCACCAATCCCATGGATATAATCTATACTTAACAGATATATTATTAGAGGGGGTTTTGTGGAGATTGTAGTAATTTCAATAGTTGAGATCATGATTCGATTGAAGCTGGACCACCATGTAAAACCTGGAAGCACCAGATGGCCGTTTAGTCCTATTGTCTAACTTTAACTAATCCACGAAATTGAGCGACACATCCAGCATTGTCATCAGTGAGTTACTATCTCACAACTGACCCGATTAAAGTCCAGTGGTCACTGCTTCTCACTAGAACTCCAGGAAATACCTATTGAAGCCAGTCACTAGTGAGCATATGTTGATTAGTATCAGAAGGGTTTTCCATAGTGATCTAGCTTCAATTTACTCATGATCTCAACTATTGAGATATATTATTTACAAAATACATGACTAAGTAAGAAGAAAGCGCAGAGTAAATGACACAGTACAATACTACTTTTCTTAAACCAGTAGACTGGTTTGTTTTCATCAACTTCAAAAGAATTGAAATTATCAATTAATTATTCAATCATCTTTTCTTGTTTTCGCGCCAAAAGTGCTCGTTTTCACCTTTATGTTATATTTCTCCATTGGGAGAATCTTAAACGCAATTGGTCGGTTGTATCTTTTAGTGTGCTATTTTGTAACGCTTACCAAGGACAATTTTATACTGTATATATACGTTTGATTTGTGCCTGTTGTTATTGCTCGTGCTTCTGGCTGCTTGCTGAATATATTTCCCCGTTTCGAACTTGGACTTCTCTCTCTAGTTGGCGTGACTGGGACGCATCAGAATGGCTAGCTTATTGGTCTTCGGTCACAGAGTCTTTGTTCCGTTCATAGAGTAGGTGAACTCGTAATCGCTTCAAACATAGCATATCTTATATGAGACCAATTTACTAAATACTGTAAGACCAAAATTTTGACCAGATAAATTTATAACCCATTTACTAAGTACGCGTTTATGAACTCGGTTTTGTGCCATATTCTTTTGAATGCAATGGAGCTAATGATAGTACATACCTCCACAAAACGAAGTTCGAGGGCTATTTAAAAAAAGACTACAAATTTACATACCTAAGGTTTCGTTTTTAAAAGCTTATTAGTATGATAATAATTCATAACATATTCATACCATATCATTAAATAATCATAGCTTTCGTAGAATAGACAGGATGTGGCTAGTACGGGAATCCAGGACGTACCACTCGTCCTGTTTAGGACACCCCAGCTGAATGTACCCGGATCCAAGCTGAATATTTACTTCATGACTTGAACCCAGTACTATTCGCTTTAGACTTCAACGCATTATTCATTTAGCTACTGAGTCTATGATGTCATTCACTTGCGTAACAGTACTCTAAAGGTACATTCAACTGATGAATCCTAAATTAAATGAATAGTACGTCTTAAATTTAACTGCTTGCCGTATCCTATCTATTTTATATACAATTGTATCATAATAACTATACCGAAGCAATCAGCATAGGATGCACATATGTCAAAAAAGATGAATCAAATTTTAGTCAAATTATCATTCAGTAGCTGAATGGATAACGCGATGGCATTTGAAGCGAATGGTACTGGGTTCGAGTCCCAGAGTGGACATCAACTCTGAGATGCAGGTACATCCAGCTGACGAGTTCCAAATAGGACGAAACGCGCGTCCTGGATTCCACTGCTAGCCACTATCCATCATTGCTTACAAATAACTTGTGAAATAAGGTAATATCGAGGCATACACACAGTATGCACATATGCCAATAACAGACTGATCAATTGCAATCTTAAACCTCAATGGTAAGATACAAGCCAAACAATACCAAGTGAATTCTAATTCAATCTAACCTTTATTTTTTTATTTGTTTACGAATTTTAGCGCCATACATTGGCTGGTGAATTACTTTTAAGTATTGATAAAATACATAAAGCTATTGATGCATTTATTGCTGGTGAGAACTGGTCAAAGGCTAAATGTGTAGCACGTGAATTAGAGCCACGTTTAGAAGTATATGTTGAAGCAAAATATAAAGAAGCATTAAAAGTAAGTTATTCTCTCTATCATAGTTCAAATTATATTGTTTAGTTTCAACATTTAACTCCAACTGCCTCGACGTGCTATGTTCAGTGGTATAGGAGTAGGTTGGAAGAAAGCTAGGGGTGGCCAGACCAAAACATGGTACAAGTCCATGAAGTCACTGACAAGTGAACTGAGTCATGTTGATAGGTGTAGACTACCTGGTTGGGGACCACGAGATGATAGCAACCGATGGTTAGAGACCCTGAATGACATGGCTCAAAACATTTTGCAATGACGCAGGGGTGTCCACTCTTTGTGTTCTCTCAAACTCTAATCTCCTGAATCCTCCTTGTCTCTTTTTTCTCTTTCCAAATTTATTTCACTGGATTATCCTGCTTGAATAACATCTTCAAACCTTAATCTTTCCGATTACTGTTTATACTCTTACCACCTCTACTAATACGGGATTTGAATCGACCACTGCATCTCTGTGCTAATGTGGTGTGGCAACTCGAATTGATGTACGTACGTACAATGTTCTACGTTGTTACTGACTGACTGATATTTAACTAAATTAAAGGGTGGATATATTAGTTCGAATTCATAATGTATGTAACCCATCGAACCAAACAAATTCGAAGGAAGAACACTTCTCTGTAACCAATGTTGTGTTCATTAATCTTAAATAGTGATCCGAATTTGACGATCAAAATGAATCTTGTTTCAAGTTATTAAACATTGAACTGAATTTTATTGGATAACGATCATATTTAATAAATGATTTAACTTATTGAATGACTATTTCTCTCTTGATAGACCTACTGCTGGTGAGTAATTTTCAGTAATATAAGTAGGTCAAACGAAGTTCGGGTCCTAGAGCGAATATCAACATTAAGATGCATGTACATCCAGCTGAAAAATCCAAAATAGAACGAAGTGCGCATCCTGGATTTCACTGCTAGCCATCATTCAGCTCTATGTAAACTCCTTGTGACTTAATAGCAATATCGAGACAATCCAGTCAGGATGCATATATGCCAGTAAGAGACTGATCAATTGGGAAAATCCAAACAATCAATTTATATGAATAGTTCAAACTAGTTTATATAAAAGTACCGAATATAAACTTTTCGTTTCATTTTGTATATACTTAATACAAAAGAAGATCGCACAATGATTTAGACATTGGAGAAGAGTGATTATTATTTAGTTGTTATTATAATCTATAGATTTTTACATTTCTTTCTGTAATCTATTCAGAGAACCGCTCAGATTTCTGATCCAAGAGGGAATTCTCGGAGTTATAGTGAGAAGCCGTGACCAGTAGAGCTAATCCATATCGGGTAGAGACAGGTATCTACCTCAGCACAATGGAAGTTAGTTGCGCAATTTTGTGGATTGGTTGATGTTAGACACTATCACCATCGGATGCCGGCCGACTCAGTGGTTCAGTAGGTTAAGCGTTCGCGCGCGAGACCGAAGGCGCTGGGTTCGAATCCCGCAGGCGGGATCGTGGATGCGTACCACCGAGGAGTCCCACAATAGGACGAAACTGTCATCCAGTGCTTCCAGGTTTTCAATAGTGGTCTAACATCAATCAGTTCGTGATCTCAATCAAAAACTTAATAATCTCCACAACCCCTATACTAGTAAATATTTATAACCTCTTCATGCCTCTTTTTTTTATACAGATAAAGGGACAAGCTGATACATTAGCTAGTGTTGACATAAATTCAGCTTTAGATATGTATGCAGAACAAGGTAAATGGGAAAAGTGTTTATCTACAGTGGAACAATTATTAAATGAAGCAAAACAAACCGCTAATGGTCACAGTATGAAGGGTAATGGAAATAACACTAATACATTGTCATCATCAAATGTTTTAAAAGAATATCAACGTTTACATAAATATGTTGCTGTGTATGCAGCTAATTTAATTAAAGATTCACGTGTTTACGATGCTATGTTATTATATAAAAAATATGGTACACCAGCATATAAGCAAAATTTCAATATTTATAAACGTATATTTCAAGTAAGTCAATTAAATACAATCATAATTCATAATGAAAAGATAAGTTAAACATTTGAAAATGAAATGATTTAGTAAAATAGAAATTAGATGTTGACTCAGTGGTCTAGAGATCAAGCGTACACTCAAAGATCATGGGTTCGAGTTCCGAGTGAGGAATAGTAGATGTACACTACTGAGGAGTCCTATACTAGTTAGGATGAAACGGTCTTCCAGTGCTTCTAGGTTTTCAATGATGATCTAGCTTAAATTGACTCATGAATTCAACTATTAAAATAAATTAGTTCGAAAGTCTAACTTTAATTGATTCATAACAGTATCTTCAGTAATAATGATTGCATCATTTCTAATATGATTCTAATTCATCAGTTATAACTTGTCAATGAAACGTTGACAATTCATCCTGAAGATAATTACTAGTGTAAAGATGTAAACGTTTACTGTTTAGGAGATGATAAACCATTTTATATTGCTTTTCGGTTCTTAGGTTGATGTTAATTCATGACATAAATAATCTTCATATTTTATACGTTGTTTATTTTCATAAGTTGAAATCATGAGCCAGTTGAAGCTAGACCACCGTGGAAAACCTGGAAGCACTGGACGGCTGTTTTGTTCTAGTATGGGACTCCTCAGCAGTACGCATCCACGATTTGAAATGAAGAACTTAAGTTGAATACCTAATTTGAGATTAGGAATTACTGAAATGGGTGAGATTATAATTTATGGAGGACTTTTTAGCGACAACGCTAAAGTGACCTTGACAGTGTCTACCTACTTACTAGAGCTAAATGAGGGTTATAAAGCAGTTTAAACAATAAGGATTATGATTTACAGTTGATGGCTAGGGTTAGGAATTAGATTTAAGGCTTTTCATCACGAACTGACATAAGCTATAATGCCAAGACTCTATTTAGCCAAAATGGATGAGTGAATTTCGAAGCTGAAATCCAAGATCTGTTATTGTAAATCTGATTAGTTCGTTCATAAATTATGTTCTCGCCCTGAAATGTTTCTTTTTATGATGATGAGAGCAATTCATTTTAATTTGGATTTTAAGTTATTCAGTTTGTTGATTGGGAGTGAGAAGAAATTTTAGTTGGTTCAACAAGTAAACTGTATTGAATGATAGTTGACTTGTAGTAGGTATGATAGGTTCAATTTATAACATTTGACAAATCTAAGTAGACAAGCAGAAAATACTATATCTGACTAGGGTTGGTTTGTTGCTTAAAGCCGAGTGAAAGTGTTTATATCTCATATGGATTTTATGGGTAATCTGATTGATGTAAACAGGAACGTATAAGTGAACATTTTAACCATGTGTTAAATCCACTCACTCACAGTGGCTCGCACACAGTTGAATATAATTAATAATATAGCCTTGATGGATTTTGTCCCAACCGTTGTTGCTACCTTGACGTGGTGGTCGGGCTTGCTTATCGTGATGAACCAATAGAGCTATACTGGCTGGAACAATCCTTTTTCAAGGTCCTACCATACCAGACAGGTCGGTTGAAGAGCGGTAACAATAAAAGTAGCAAGCCCAAGGTCCGAGGGCGAAGTCGTACTGCTGATTGTTCAGAGGTGTGACAGTAGTAAGGTGTTTCCTTCAGACAACCAGCATAACAGCAATGCTGCTTTCCCACAAGGAGGGGTGGGGTTAGAAAAGGTCGACCCTAAAAATGCACACATCGCCTTATCCCACGTATATCCGTCTCCAGCGGTAAGGTCTCAAAAAGTACGGAGCCAAACCGAAAATTACTCACAGAAAGGTCGTGTGTGACTGACCTCAAGCAGTTGTCCCTTTGGCACTGCGGTCACGTTCTCAGGTCACTAAGACCACCTTTAATCCAATTTATTTTTCAGATACCTCTAGAATAACCCTTCTATGGTGTGGGTAACCGGGAAGTGATAACCGCCTTCATACCTCTAATAGCACTCAAGACCACTGTATTCATAGATGAATTTTGTAGTTCATTCACTTTTATTGGGCATATCATTTTGTAGTTATGAAGATGTATAGTTAAATTAAAGCTGAAATATGGCAGTTGATTCAATTTAAAAGTCGGTGTATTGATGTAAATTTATAGCAACTTGGCTCAAAATTAATTGGTCTGAAGTCTTAAATTTTCTGTGAACTAACTGATAAAGTTCTATTCGAAAATCCGTCAATCTGAGAGGGGGTTTTATATTTTTTTTTAGTAATAAGCACAAATAACAGCCAAATGTGTTTATTCACTTAACCAAACTAGGGCGCTTTGATAAGACTCATCCTACATATATATGTGGATCCAAGGGTTGGTTTTCATGAACTTGAGTGTAGAAGAGCTTTTAGTGACCCGGGATCTGACTCCCGTTAGATCGTATAGTTGATTATTATATCCTCGTATAAAATCATGAACTTAACTCGCATTAGTGTATAACAGAATTAACTAAGTTAAATACGAGAATGTATGTTTGAATACTCATATTCTGTACACTCGTTGATCACAACAGACGATCGGAGAATCGCAGCGAATAGAGCAAAGAAGAGAGAGCGAAGTAACAAAAGGATGTGCAGTGGAGAAGGCATGCGAGCCAACTCCATTTAATCAAGCGTCAGTCAGTATTTATAGCCAGATACAAATAAGCTACAGATATGCGTTGAGTAGGGTAAGAAGTGTAAAAACAGTCAAGGTTGATAAGTAAAATAATTAACAAGGTCCAAACGTGACGCAAGTTGAATCGATACATTGGCACATCCAGGAGCTAGAATAAGTTATATGGGCTTATCATAGTAACCGACACTACAAGCTACTAATACTAAGTACATATAATAATATTTTCATTATCTCGTACTCTCTTTCAAAGTCTCCATGATTTACTGAAGTGTCGTTATGTTATTATTATTACCATTATTATTTTTATTAACATGATATTCGGCAGTCATAATAGATCTGAACTCATACTGTCTTTAGAACGTGCCTCCAAATCATTCTCAGTACAAATCACAACAGATGGAAAAAAATACTTCTATACTGGATACCAGTTGAAAGTCACCTGTGTTTTCCATACCGGATAGTTCTATATAGAGATATAAAAACTATGCGCCACATTGATATCCATCTGTAACCAGTCAGTCAGCTACAACGTGGGACCGGGCACATATATGTATCGGTCCAAGTTGTCATACCTCATTAGCATAACAAGATAGACACCGTACTCATAAAAGTAGTTAGTTCAATGGTGGTAATATATAAAAGAAAGATTGCAATAAGGATATAGTACAGGAAGATAGAACTAGTTCGCAGAAAGAAAGATATGAAGCAATTTTAATCTTATAGTTTAAGGGGAGACAGAGAGTGTATACACCGACGCCATTGTGATCGATTCTGAGCCATGTCACCAAGAGTCTCCAACCATTGGTTACGATAGTCACAGCGGACCCCAACCAAGTAGTCTGCATCTACCAACATGGCTCAGACTAGAAGTTAATGTCTTCAAGCACTGATGCCACGTTTTGGTTTGGCCGCCCCTAACTTTCTTCCAACCATCCCAAACACCGGTTAGCATTGCACGTCGTGCTAATCGGTGTTCGGGTATACGTAACACGTGGCCCAACCATCTCAGTCGATGAACATTCACAACCTCATCAACTGATTTACCATCATTACCTAATACCCTGTGTCTAACCTCACTATTACTTACCCGGTGATCCCAGCAGACACCAGTAATATTTCTGAGGCATCTGTGGTCAAATACTAGTAGTTTACGAGTGTCTTCTACTCTTAATGGCCATGTTTCTCTGCCGTAAATTCAAACAGAACGGACTGTAATCTGTAATCTCCAACTACTGACTGATTAAACACAGTATGTATAACATCATAGATCGATATTTTTAAAATCTGTCAGTTTTATTTCAAAAGTCCTGAGAGTTCAGAAAAATTCATATAAACAAGTTATTCAAACGATCAATTAGGGATTTTAGTCCATGTCAAACGTTGTTATCTTGAAGATTTTCAAAAAAATTCTTTATCGAGGAACTAATAATATAATTATTTTATTTCTCAATACTACTCTGACAATTACCTACTCTTGGATAACACACTAGCCTTGATCGTGAGAAAAGACTGTAGTGGTAAATAAATCCCTAAAACAAATAGCCTTGTAAGTCTTCGACATTGGATACTGACCATATTAGTTTTAATGGACTCACCTAGCTGAAGGCGCTCGGTCATGCATCCGCATCGAATCACGGTTGTTAACGCCGTGCTCAACAACCCCTGTAATCGCTATCCAGATTAGATCAGTCGATCCTCCATAGCCTATCAAATATATCTTCAAATCTCCTCGCTTTTGTCTTTTGATTTCACTTGGTAGACACGATTCATAATGGAAGGTTTTATTGGTTAAAGCGTTGTCAAACTTCAAATACCTGTGGCATCTTCAAGAACATTATTTGATTTACCTTTTAATAGTGATTAATTATCAAATATAATAAAGATCACCAAAAACTCACTACGGATAATAATTATGATCTATTCTACACGAACAACGTCTTGTTTTTTAGGGCATAACAAGTCAACGTGGTCTATACGGATCAGATGCTTATCCAACATGGTCAACTTTACGTGATATTTTATTTGATTTAAATCAAAATCTTAAACAAACCAAATCTGATATACAACCAGAAATTATAAAATTATTTGATCGTATGCTTTTAGTGACACATTATTATGCTATTCGTTCAGCTTTATTATCAACACAACAAGATGTTAAAGAGGTAAGTTTTGAATTCGACTAATTAATGTTTATATTAAGATTTGGCTACCTATGATCATGTTCTCTTGTGGTTGATTGGTTTTCATTTTTGGAAGTGAATTGTAAATTATTAGTATAAGGTTATGGAGATTGTTAAGTTTAGATTGATATCATGAATAATGGATCAATATTAGATCATCATTAAAAGCCTGGAAGCATTTGAAGGCTATTTCATTCCTAGTACGGGACTACTCATCAGTGTGTATTCATGGTCCCACACATTGAACTTGAACTCAGGATCTCAGGTTCCGTGCTTGGATACATAAACCTCTAGACCAGTGGGTTTGAGTCCCGAGTGTGGGGTCGTAGATATGCACTGTTGAGGTGTCCCATGCTAGGATGAAACGGCCTCCCAGTGTTTCCAGGTTTTCAGTGGTGATCTATCATTGATTCATTCATGAATTGTAAATGTCTGCTTTTAAAATGATTGGATAATGTTATTTGAAATTTAATTAATCTTGATTGGAGTTTGCTTAAATGTATAACATTTAACTCATCAGTAAAACTATTTATGAGTATTTCATGAACTTACTACTTATTATTTAATTCAATATTGAAACTATAAACTTCTCGACTAATGAAAATTTGATTTAGAAACTTTAAAATCATTTTCAAATACTGTTATTACTTGTGCCCTGTGTCCTATTAATGTATAGCGTAATGATACCGCCAATTACAGAGCAGTGAATTATCAATCGGACCAATGACGCATAAAACACGTACGAGCAGTCCAGAGTACTTATCGGTCATGCTTCCTGCCTAGCCCTACCTGTTAAGTCCACAACACTAATCTCAGCCTCTGTAATTTGAATCATGTGTTTCAAAAAATACTGGGTTTATATACCAACCAGACAGACCACATCGACCATAAAATATGAAACAGCATTTGTACAAGAATTAGCCAAATGTGGCTGTGAATGTGGGAGGTAGTAATTGATCGACGTGGCATAATTCAAGAATGATAGATCGTATAATAATGATTCATAGGTCAAACTGTAGCTCATAATAAGAGGGACATGAATATGGATAGTTTAGTTACTAAACACCTATACAATAAAAATATACGTATACTATTAGTTCAGAAATAGATCCCAACGGTTACCATTCATTATTCTCATCGGGATATAACAAATACCTAACTAATTGAGTTAATTGGTTCAATGTTGATATTTCATCATCTTGTTGAAATACAGTGTTTATATATTTGTTACTTCGTTTATTTCATTCTATTGTTGATTTTCATTTCTTTGCAATGAACAGTTTATCTTCATCATGGCACACGGTTCTAATTTAATGTGTCTGCGGTGAGACTATAATTTATGGATGAACCAAACATGTATAAGATAAGAGGTCTCGGATTTTGGTGCGAAATTCACTCATCCATTTGGATTAATACAGTTTTAGAATTTATAGCTGATGTTAATTCGTGATGGAAACCCTAAATTTAGTTCTTAACCTTAATCATCAACCGTAACTCATAATTCTAATTCTTCATATAGGTTTATAACCATTATTTAGTCCTAGTTATTAGGTGAACACTCTCAACGTCAGTCTAGCGTCACTCAAAGATCATCCATAAATTATAGTCTCACCGGGATCTTTAGTGAATAATTTACGTGTTAAAAATAGATACTGGAAATTCGAGAAAACGTTAATCATGTCTTTGTCAACATAACCGTCTTAAAATGTAATCGACTGAGATGATGTCACTTTGGATTATGAATATGACATTTTGATTGGATGTAATATTTATCTTCCATAATAAGTATTGTTATATGTTACATGTTAGTGTTATATTTTGAGAAAATGCTAATTCATTACAACTACAGACCTTTATTCGATTATCAATTATTGTATTATCAGAAGGGGTCTGTGGAGATTTTTTAGAAATTTCACAGATTGAAATTATGAGTCATTTGAAGCTGGATCACCATGGAAAACCTGAAAGCACTGGACGGCCGTTTCGTCTTGGTATGGGCCTCCTCAGCAGTGCGCATTCACGATCCCACCACCGCGAGATTCGAACCCAGGACCAGTGGAGTTCAACCAGGTCTATTGTGAGATATCAGCTCACTGAAGACAATGGTGTACGGTGGCGCAATTTTGTGGATGCCGGGTCAGTGGTCTAATGGTTAAGCACTCGCGCGCGAGACTGATAAGTCCTGGGTTAGAATCTCTCGGGGGGGGGGGGCGGGAGTCCCATACTAAGACGAAACGGCCGTTCAGTGCTTTCAGGTTTTCCATGGTGGTCTAGCTTTAATTGACTCATGATTTCAACTATTGATATTTCATTTCTATATTTCAATTATTACACGTCTTCTTACTCAGTGTTTGTATAGTTAGAATAATAGATGATCAAGTAAACTGGACTCATTTAATCTTGAGGAATTTATTGTTTTTTTGTCTTCATAAGGTATTCTTTTAGAAAATAAAGAAGATAGTCTTCACTCATTGGTAAGACACTCGGAAGCAACTTATGATTTGCAATATATATGTTCATTTCATCAAATTGCTACACCATATCAAGATGGAGAGACAAAATCAACAAAATGAATGCTGGGGTAGTAAAAGAAGAAGTTTTTATATCAGTCGTAGTAAAGATTATTAACCACGGTGAAGATGATTTGAGACGAAACAATTAATTCATGAAATTAAATATAATACATAGTTTTGAAACTCAGAATCTTAGGGTAGACATAGAGCGAATAGATCTGCGCTGTTGCAGCGATCTTGTGCCATGTTGTGTACTATCTTTAAATACTAATCACGACGACAGCCCGAACCCCATTCATGTAGTCGGCGCTTACTAACGCAGATTAAACTAACTGTCAATATTCTCATTGGCTGATATTGGATTTTGGTATGATCACCTTCAGTTTTATTCAAACTACATCAGTCATTATTTCATATCGAGTTAGTTGATTGTCAGATATACATGACACATATCCTAACCGTCCCAGCTGATTAAGATTTACCACCTTATCAATCTATTTATCATTCATACCTAGTATCCTGCCACTAACCTTAGGATTCCTAACTCGATAGTTCCAACTTACAAAATCAATATTTCATAGGAATCAAATAATGATAACCTATAAATATCCTCAATTTTTAGAGGATGCATTTCATTGAAATAAAGTAGAACAAAATAAGCTGCTTGCAGCATATTTTAACTGACAAGCTGAAATCACGCCTACGTCGCTTGCTGTCTGGAGTGCAACTTCCCTATTTTCTTATTTTATTATCATTTTGAAGAGAGTAAAAACAAAGATTGGTGCAAACTAACATGAATCCGTCTTGTTACGCTAGGTTCTCACCAGCTACTTACTATTGTAGTGAACAAGAACACCAGTGGGGACAATCAACTGTACTTGACACAAAATTACAGGACTTGTTAATAAAATCTAACAATCATGTAGTAAATGCTTAGTTTGCAAAATGTCCATCGATTGTCTCATAATGACTCAGACTTCATTGTTCTTGCATTTCCATACAAATTGCATTCTGTCTCCATTCTTTATTGTTCGATCCTCTTATCTCTCTGCTGCCAAACATTCTGTTCACGACTAACGTCATCTACTACTTATGTCAATATAAGTAGCACACACTACACTACCTATATTATTTAAAAACGGAAGTCATCTTGGAAATCGACATACTTATAAACATAGATGTGATTGGAGATGAATATACGTATCATGATGTAGCGAAGATCCCAATAGGAATAATAAGATCATAAAAAAGTTGTTTCATATAAACAAGTAAATTATGAGAGGGAACATCAAATTAGTGATTAAAATTCATAGTGTTAACAAACATTAGATGATTGTGTAATGCGGTAACTGAAAAGAGATTAATGGTAACCAAGAATGATGTGATTGGTAGTTAGTCAATTCGAATCATTTGCTGTACCCACATTCAAATGTATCTGTTAAAGCAGTTACATTGGTGAATAGAAAAGAAAGGCCTACGTCCGAATGAAAACTTATATTTCAAAAAGTCTAATGTTAAGGAAAGTAAAATCACTCAATAGTGCCATCTCGAGACATCTCCGTGGTACAGGACATTAGGTGGATACACTTAAATCTTTCAAGGTAATAAATAAACAATCGAATTCTAATCGTCTGAAATATGCTGAATCTATAACGATCAAACGTCTAAAACCAAATCGATGTTTCTAAAAAGAAACAGTAATAAAAATATTTCTTTGCCCTAGTTACATCATATCCTTCTTATTGCGCCATTGATTATTTCACCTTTATCCGAAATTTGATTACATCATTGTCATTTTTCTCCAATTCCTAACTGAATGATTTCAATTCATATCGTTCTCTATTATTATTAGTCTGTCTTCAGTTATTTCATTACACAATCATCTGATGTTTGTTAACTTCATGAATTCTAAACACTAGTTCAATCTTCTGGAACTTTCCCTCCTAGACTTTATTTATCTGAAACAAACAACATTATTATGACCTTAATTCTATTGGGATATATTCATCACATCATGATTCACATAATCATCTATAATCACATCTGTGTTCATATGTATGTGTCAATGTTATATGCCGATGAGGATAATGAATGGTAACCGTTGGGATCTATTTCTGAAATAATAGTATAGGTGTTTAGTAACTAAACTATCCATATTCGTTTATACGAATATTCGTCAAGATTAGAACGAATAGTTTGACAGTAATTGAGCGCCGAGTATAGAGAAGTCATTATATGTGAAAATTATATTTGAAATATTCTCAGCGATTGAAATTTAACTAATTCCAACGTTTCGTCCAGCTAACTTGTCTGGACTTCTTCAGGGTAATAATCAGAATCAAAATTGATTCTGATTAGTATCCATATTCGTGTTCCTTTTATTATGAGCTACAGTTTGACCTATGAATCATTATTATACGATTTATTATTCTTGAATTATGCACTGTCTATCAATTACTACCTACCACATTCACAGCCACATTTGGCTAATTCTTGTACAAATGCTGTTTCTTATTTCATGGTACCGATGTGGTCTGTCTGGTTGGTATATAAACCCAGTATTTTTTGAAATACATGATTCAAATTACAGAGGCTGAGATTGGTGTTATGGACTTAACTGGTAGGGCTAGGCAGGAAGCATGACCGATAAGTACTCTGGACTGCTCGTACGTGTTTTATGCGTCATTGGTCCGATCGATAATTCACTATTCTCTGATTGGCGGTATCATTACGTTATTCATTAACACGGTACTCAGGGTACAAGTGACAACAGTCAATTTTCAAGATGACTTTGATTTTAACATATCATACGTAGTAAACACCTGATGAATTCATATTATTCTGCACCAATCTTCGCTTTTCCTTTTCAAGATGAGAAAGAAAGTTGTGTATATGAAATTTTTTTTATTTTATATCTACGTAATATAGATTCTAATTTCTTAACTAAACTTCTTTTTTTATTCAGATCGTTACACAAATTAATGTATCACTTCTTCGACATTCTGATATATTACCAGCTGATAAAGTATTCTATGAAGCTGGTATTGATTGTCGTCAAATTGGATGGAATAATATGGCTTTTGTATTTTTAAATCGTTATTTAGATTTAGTTGAAGCTATTGAAGATCCAGATAATTCGTCTAATACTTTAGACAGTTCAGATTTTCAAGTGAGTGTTATATGAATGTATATGTGTTGTGTAATAATGTGTAAGATTTTCATAAGAATTTCAGTACTGATTTTAATATTGAACTGTATTTATCCAAATGTATCAGTGAATTTTGCGCCAAAATCGGAGACCGACTATCTTATACATGATTGGTTCGTCCATAAATTATAGTCTCTCTGCGTGAATTCTTTAATTAAGTCAATAAATTATATATATATTCCCAATAGTGTAGAATGGACACATGCTTTAATGTATGCCATACCAATGAAATATAAAGAAATATTTCTGCATCCTTGAAGTGATGGTAATTATTAATTGAGATCATGAACCGATTGATGTTAGACCACCATTGAAAACCTTGAAGCACTGGACGGCCGTTTCGTCCTATTATGGGACTCCTCAGCAGTGCGCACCCACGATTTCGCTCGCGGGATTAACACCACATTAACACCGTTGGATACCGGCTGGCTCAGTGGTCTAGTAACTTGAGTGCTCGCGCGCGAAACTGAAGGCCCTGGGTTCGAATCCCAGGGCTACCATATATACATACTCAAAGTTATATATATGGATGATAGAATGACTGGGAAGACGGGAATACTTTACATGTCCAAACAGCAAGATAAATCGCATAGGTCTGTAACTAAACGGAAACTCATACACTTTTAATGCATATTACTGTTTATTAATCGATTATATATTTATGGAATTTTAATAAATTTCATTTTTCTATCTAATTCTTTTTTCAATGGTTAAGATCATGAGTCAGTTGAACCTAGACCACCATGGAGAACCTGGAAGCATTGGATGGCCGTTTCGTCCTATTGCCGGACTCCTCAGCAGTGCGCATCCACGACCTTGCTCCCTGTGAGATTCGAACCCAAGACCTACTGGTTTCGCGCACGAGCACTTAACCACTAGATCACAATAGGACGAAACGGTCGTCCAGTGCTTCCAGATTTTCCATAGTGGTCTAGCTTCAACTGACTCATGATCTTAACCATTGAAATTACTATAATATCCATAAAACCCATCTGATATTAATTCTTATTTGTATATTCATTCAGGGTACTGATATACCTATGGAAGTTCCTATTCCAGAACATCTTTATACAACACATAAAGAACATGAATCAATACGTGAATGGATATTAGCTATATCAATGGATCATAAATTTGATCAAACATTACCAAAAGATGAAAGAGGTGTTTATATAGCTTCATTAAATTCACCTAATATTGGTTTATCTTCATTACCATGTATTATTACAGGTTATCCAATACTTAGAAATGGTATTATATTTGAACCATCTAAAAGAGCTGCTATTCAAACAAATTGGAATAAATTTTTGTATATAATAAAAATGAATAAAACATTTGAATGTTTAAATGTAAAAGAATTCATTGAACAATGGTGTGGTACACCTACATATAATAAATGAAATGTAATATAATAGAAAAGGAATACTTCAAATACTTGTTTCCCTTTCATTCCTATTACTTACTTACTTACGCCTGTTACTCCTATAATGAAGCATAGACCGCCGACCAGCATTCACCAATCCACTCTATCCTCCGCCTTCTTTTCTAGTTTCATCCAATTCTTGTTGATTTTTCTCATGTCTATCTTCATTTTCCGGCGTAATGTGTTCTTTGATTTTCCTCTTTTCCTTTGGCTTTGAGGATTCCGTGTGAGCGTTTGTCTTGTGATGTAGTTGGGTGTTTTCCTCAATGTGTGTTCTATCCACTTCCAGCGATTCTTCCTCATTTCTTATTTATTAAATAGATATGGTTCATTATGTAGGCGAAATTATAATTTATGGATAGATCGATCAGATTTACAAGAACAGGTCTTGGATTTCAGCCCCCGAAATTTCCTTCACCCATTTTGGCTAAATAAAGTTTTGGCATTATAAAGCTGATGTCAATTCGTGATGAACCTACCTTAAATCTAATTTCTAACCTTAACAATCAACTGTAAATCATATAATCCTTATTGTTTAAACTGTTTTATACAACCCTCGTTTAGCCCCCTAGTAAGTAAGTAGGTAAACACTCACAAGATCATTTTAGCGTTGTCATTCAAAAGTTGTTCATAAATTATAGTCTCATTCATTATGTAAGCTATTTTCAAACAATCGCTTCTTTATGTATGTTCAGGTTTATTTTTTCTTCTAAATGATTACATTTCTAAAAATAGATTTGATGCGAATATACTTTAGGTAACCTCGTCATATTTTAATGAACCCTAAATTTGAAATTCGATTCATCCGGTTTACAATAGAGTGGTAGATTTGTCCGATATCTGTCGACCATCAGAATTAGCCAGCATAGTTATCATTCACTATCCAGCAGTGCTACTTATAGGACTTTGAGTCGGATTTTTCTGTCAACTAAGAACAATAGCGAGGGTGGAGTGAATGTATCTAACATACAATTCCTCATTATCTGACTCCTTTGTTACCAGACGATACTGATTCCGATGTTATGTATAACCTATCGTATTTGTTCTATTAACCTAACACGTTCAGAACAAAGGTGTATATCAAAAGTTGCATACATAAAAGTGATTTTTTGTTTATGTAAGCTATTTTCAAACAAGATTACATTCCTATATAATAGATAGATAACAAATAGAAACAGAATTGTGTTTCCATTTCCAATTTCTTAGATTTAATTTTTTTGTTTTGTTTTCAACTAAGATTTTCACTGATTTATCATTGTTCAATCATCAAGTTTAAGTAATATTATGTAACAAATAAATTGGATTTGTATAATTAGGATTGATTGTTCTATTGCTCGCAATTAACTAGATTGTCTTCAAATGCCTTAATATAGCCGAGGATGGAGAGAGTCAGCTCTCCCTCTCGAAATGCTCTCACATGGTCACGCATCTACATTCACTTGCAAGGAAGTCCTACTCACTGCCTTCTTGTGATGGGGGTGCTTTTTTACGAAATTGACAGAACGAAAAGCAAATTTCCGGAGCTATAACCGGGTTGGTGGATACTGAGGGTCAACCTAGGGGAGTTGGAAACTGCAAACAAATGGTGCACATGGACTTCAGAACCCTGAAGGAACAAATGGCATATGAACCAATTATTGATCAACGGCTTTCATGTGACTGCATCATCTGACGTTGCTCTACTGCCTTGTGGATCAGACCTTCAGATCGAAGGCTCCGGTTGTTGCCCCTTCAGAAAACCACGTGCTTTGATCTGGACACCCGAGTAGTATCATACCCCACACACAAATCAAGTGACTTCTGTAGCGCATATGTATTTGGTTATCCTTTTTACCAATATTTATGTGTTCAAATCAATAAATAATGGACTAGGTTGTAGTAATCAGTTCAAAACTTATTAGTCTACTAATAAGTAATATTCGGATGCAGTTATTTTGATTTGATTAATTGAACTGCTTTATTAGAATAAATCGTAAGTTGTTATGATTTAATCAGAACTTTTATAGTAGGTGGGAATAAACTACTACCTGAATACTAATAAGAGTTTGGGAGTAGGATGTGTTCCCGTCTTACTGATCTTGATCGATGATTTTCAGTTTATAAAAAAGGATAGCAATCTTCTTGTGATAACCACAAACAAGTCAACTCGACTAACGGTGTTTGAAATATTTGTATCTATAATCACGTGACGCTTAACTAGAACTCGTCAAAAGCAAACTCAGGAGCATCGCGATGATTTCACACGTGAACGTGCATGTATGGACTGAATATTCACTTTTTGTGAGATCTTGGAACACAGGCACAAGTACCGGCGGACAATTTCATGGCCGCAAGGAAGTGTCTGACCTTGTCGACCGAGAGGTTTTGTGACCGAGTTTATCTCTGAAAGGTATACCAAAGAAGTACACTAACCTTGTGGAAGTTCTCTACTCAGACATTACTGGTCGAATAAGAGCTTGTGACGAAGTTTACGACAGTTGCCTACTTCAGTCAGTAAAAACGTAGAACTTCGTACGTAAGTGCATCAGTTCGAGTTGCCATACCACATTAGCACAGATGCAGTTGTCGATTCAAATCCCGTAGTGGTAGAGGTGGTAAGAGTATAAACAGTAATCGGAAAGATTAGGATTTGAAGATGTTATTTAAAGAGTATAATCCAGTGAAACAAATTTGGAAATAGAAAAAAGGGACATGGAGGATTCAAAAGATTAGAATTTGGGAGAACACAAAGAGTGGATGCACCGGCGCACACCATTGCAAACGATTTTGAGCCATGCCATTCAGGGTCTCTAACCATCGGTTGCTATCATCTCGCGGTCCCAAACCACGTAGTCTACACCTACCAATATGACTCAGTTCACTTGTCAGTGACTTCATGGATTTGTGCCATGTTTCGGTCTGGCCACCCCTAGCTCTCTTACAACCTACTCCTATACCATCGAGCATCGCACTTCGAAGCAGTCGGCGGTTGAGCATACGTAATACATGTTCCAGCCGTCTCAACTGATGAAGTTTCACTACTTCATCAATTGATTTGCCATCCTTACCTAGAAACCGTTTCCTAACAACCGCGTTACTTACTCCATGGTCCCAGGATATACGAGCAATGTTTCGAAGACACCTGTGGTCGAATACTAGTGACCTACAAATATCCTCTACTCTTACCGGCAATGTCTCACTTCCATAAAGTAGGACGGAACGAACTGCTGCGCAGTAAACCCGTCCTTTAGTTGATAGATGGATATCTCACCTACGCCATAAATGACGCAAGTTGGCAAAAGCTAGTCGAGCCTTCTGTGTCCGTGCTGAGATTTAGTCACACACTAAACCAAAAGGGCTGATGAGACTTCCAAGATAAGTGAAGCGGTCGACACGCTCAACTAATTCACTCCCTATCATTAGTTCGGGTGTCAATGAAACCCAATCCTGAAGCAACATTTTGCATTTCGAGGGGGAGAATCGCATCCCGAACATGCTTGCATTGTCGCTTAGAGTGGTCAGAAGACTGCATTTTGTCAGCGTCTTCACCAAATAGAACTATGTCATCAGCATTTCTAAGTCAACAAGTGAACCTCCTGGTAGAAGTTCAACTCCTTGAAATTTAGATGAGGAAAGTGTTATCTCTAAAAGCACGTTAAACAAGAATAGAGAGAGTGGACAGCACTGACCAACAGCACTTGAGGTAATCACTTTTGATGACAGTTAGCCATAAGCTCCCACTCGACCAGTTGTGTTCGAGTCGAGAGCATTTACAAGGTTAATGTACTTCTTTGGTACTCCTTTCAGTGACAAACACTGCCACAGTACCTCACGATCATCAGAGTCGAATGCCGCCTTAAGGTCGAGAAATACTACAATTGTGTGTCTATGTTCTAGGACCTGACGTAGTGTGAATATCTGGTCTATACAACCATGTCCAGGTTGAAAACCAGCCTGGTTTTCTCTAGTCTGCTCTTCACGAGCTTTAGTTAGGCGTCGAAGTATTATTGAAGCTAATATTTTAGACACTATATTAGTCAAACTGATTCCTGTGTGATTGTCACAAGAGGACTTTTTCCTTTCTTAAAAACTGGCACAATCAGTGATTGAGACCAGTCAGATGGAATTACGTCCAGTTCCCAAATTCTACCTAAGACTTCGGTTAATCTCATTGCTAATACTGGACCACCATCCTTAAAAATCTCAGGAGTAAACCTGTCAAGGCCTGCTGCTCTCCCTCGTTTCAGATTTCCTATAGCTTTTTCAACTTCATAAAGAGTCGGAGGGCCTAAATTAACTTGCCATTCAGGTTGACTAGAGATCGTGGGAAACCGAAGTGTGGCTGAAGGCCAGTTGGACTGATCCCTGGAGTGTTCTGTCCATCGATCCAATCTCCTGGATTGAGAATGTCTAATATGTCCATCTTTCTCTGAGAGTGTTTCAATAACAGTCGGTTTCCTAATACTGGTTTCCTTAACAAGTCTGAACAATTGTCTGCTATTACCTATTGCCGCTGCCTTTTCCATCTCTCTTGCTTTCGCTACTCACCACTGTTCACGATCATTGCGTAGACTTTTTGTCAGCTTGTACTTAAGCTGACTCCGCTCTTCATTATGTTCAGAGCCAGTTTGAATGAGCTTCCGAGCATCTATCAGTGCGGTAGATGCTGCTGAGATCCAGTATTTCTCCCTAATCTTATGGTTTACCTTACTAGCAGATATCACTGCTGTTTCCACAGCTTTTCGGATATCATTTCAAGCTTCCTCGGGTTGGGAATAACTTACATGACTGCCTAACTGTTTTCCTAGTTGTTCCTGAAATATACTCTTAGCTTGACAATCATTAAGTAGGGGTCTAAGAAGTTTCCTTGTATCGTCTTTCCTACGTCCAGTAAGACGCAAACAAATACGCGCTCGCACTAGAGCATGATCTGAGTCTAAGCATGTGCTCCAGAATGAGTGACAGTCTTCTGTCAAACCCTTCCACCGGTGGCTGATGGCGGTATGATCTAGTTGGGTCCAACATTGGGATGAATTCGGGGTCGCTATCTTAAAAGATGTTTTTCCTTAGGCTTGAAGTTAGTATTTGCAAGAAACAGGCGATTATCTGAGCGTAGTTGCAACAGACGGTCGCCATTATCTGTTCTTTGAGCCACGACACTATAAGATCCACCCAGGTGTCTTTCCCTTTCGCTTAGTTTACCTACTTGAGCATTAAAGTCACCAGCCACTATTACTACATCAGAGCGCCTAACGTTTTGGAAAAGGTCAGAAAGCTTTCTGTAAAATTCATCTGTTGCGTCATCTGAGCTGCAGTCAGTGGGAGAATAGGCAGAGACGACGAGTGTTCCTATCTTCCCGAGTTCTTACTGTTCCGTTTAGTCGAACAGCGCACAAGCGACTGTCTACTGGGATCCAGTCTAAAAGAGCTAGTTCTGTCCTAGGACTCAATGCTATACCTACGCCAGCAAGACCACGGGAAGCAGCACCAGGGCTTCCAGATACACGAAGTGTATGTCGAGTTGGTTCGTTACTTTGAAATGGCGAGGTCAAATAAATGACACTAGTCGGGTCCTGTATGCGCGTTTCGTAGGCGCAGTACACATCGACGGGGCGAGATTCAAAAGTCCTAGTTAAGAAAGCCTGTTGTCCTATTTGGCACAGTGTTCAGACGTTAAAAGCTCCTACGTGTAGTTTAAAGCGTGGTTTCAGGAGACCAGGAATGGCGTTCCACGTACTCGAATCGTTTGCCCTAGCGGTGCGAGGTGATAAAGGGACGTGAGAAGGGTTATTCGTGGAAATAAGAGAGTTATTAGGATGTGTAGGGAAGATTTGAATGTGACCGACTTGGTCTCGTGTGTTATGAGTATATGGGCTGATATCACTCCCCGACTGCCCACACTGTGGAAGGGTATTTCTTGAGGGACCTGAAAAGGAACTTGGATTAGTGTTGGTCTTGACGACTTGGGAACGTGACCGCAGAGCCCAAGGGACAACTGCTTGAGGCCGGTCGCGCACGGCCTTTTTGTGGAAGGTTTTTGACGTGTTAGCTCCGTTCTTGAAAGGGGCTTACCGCTGGAGACGGAAATCTGTGAGGTAAGGTGAGGTGTGACATTTTTAGGGCAGACCTTTTCTAACCCTTTCCTTTTTTTGTGAAAAGGCAGCATCGCCGCAGATTCTAATTGTTCGAGGGAAACTCCTTACTGCTGTCACAGCCCTCTACAGTCAGCAGTACGACTTCGCCTGGGTTTTCCACTGTCCTACTAGAAACAACACATCTTGGTGAGACTGTAATTGATGGATGAACTAATGAAATTAAAGATAGCAAGTCTTGGCTAAAAGGCATTTTTGCATTATAACTGACGTTTGTTCATGATGCAAATCCCAACTGTTATTTATAGACCTAACTTCTAGCCTCAAATTCTTATTTTAATCCCTCATATTAATTTATGATCATCTTTTGATAGTATCAAGTAGGTGAATTTTCTAAAAGTCACTACAGAATCCTTCAAGGGTTGTCCATAAATTATATTCACCCCCTTCCATCGTCTAACTTTTCAAGTGTTATCTATGTGTAATTAAAGCTGGTGTCGACGATGTTAAGAATGCCAAATAATTCTCCACAATCAGAACCATATAGTTCATTACGCACGAACCCATAAGTCTCCAGTTAGCTGTTGTACGTTTGCCAAGTCGAATCAAACACTATGATCTTAACATAATACGTTTTACGTCTTTAAATATTATAATAAACAACATGAATTCAAATTCCAAGTAAAGAGAAAGAGAACTCGTTAAGTTACACCAAACTTTCTTGTTAAGTGCATATGGAATAACGAAATGCATTCGTAGAAATTACCACTAGCTACTAACACTCCGTTTGTTCATCCAAGGTATTCATCAACTATATAAATAAGGCATCTTACTGTTAGTGTTGAGACTTGCTCATGGTATTCATCGATTCAAAATGAAAGTTATAACTTGCGGCTACCGGTTTATTTTAGGCAGTATCTGTTGGAGAACGGTTATAATTTGCCTCCCTAGTAAAAGTTTGTATCACTAAAACCTGGACTGAACTTTCATTCTAGTGTTGGATATCGTCACTGAACTGGATTAGAGAGCTGTTACATTTAATTATAAGTTTGAGCGTGATTGGTTTGGTTCACAGTGGTTTCTGATAATCTATTTGAGCAAATTATTACTATAATATACGTGGTTATGACTGAAAATATACATTTATTCCCACGTGTTTTCGTCTTTGCTTTTTGTGTTGAGGTATATTACTTATTATAAATGGTAAATAATATCACTTTTTTGCATCAAACTAATAATCCTATCAGCTTATATTTCTCTTTCGATAATTTGGTTCGTTATTCTACCTGAAAAAGTATTTTTCAATCTTTCATGGTTTCGTTACTTTGTGCTAGTCACTATCTGTAACCTCAATCATCGTGAACGATCTCACCGTTTTCAAGACCTGTAATAAACTTTATTTTCAGGAAATTTAGTCATTCCTGTTCGAAAAAGCTGTGTACTTTGCTATTCTTTTTTCCACGTTTCAAATATTTGTTTTTCCTGTATTCACACCCCACATATTTACTAACACCCATAAACCTCAGGACTAAAGTGTACACTCTCAGTGTGTATACTATTTTTTGTGATGTAATTAGACTTTCAAGCAAGCTTCGCCATTTAGTTTTAAGATTCTATACGTAAATAAGCCATTGAGTTGAAAATGTCAACCAAATTATATGCTGAGATTTGTTCGATATTTATGCGCTTGCTGTGAGATATGTAAATCTTATTAAGTAATTTTGCTAAGATTGTAGGTATTCACCGACTAAAATTAAATGGGCAATAGTAAATTTCAAAGGTAATACAAAGATATTCATCACTTTATTGGCCAAATCGTTCCACACTGTAGATTACTCATTGTTAAATGAAAACAAAGTAGATATTCTCATTGATCTAAAGATTTTGGAATGGTTGACTTTACAATTGTTCTGACTATTTGTTTATCGTAAATGTATCCTCTCATTTTTTCAGCTAAATAAAAAATCACTAAACCAATTGATAAATATTGAACCCATGCAAATTTGATGGTATACCAAAATCCTGGATTAGCACTATAAGACAATATTAATAATAATATATTATGCAAGGAATTATAAAATGTATTAACTAGAAATGATTTACGATAGCAAAGTTGGAGAAATTCAAGTAGTTAACATTTTGAGACCGATAGCCAGCAAATCATCTTTACTACAAATCATCAGCTGAAAATGCTTCTATGATGTCATAAAGCTTATACTTTTTAAAAATATTTCTTATATCTTCATTCGATTCCAATTGGTTGGTGATTTCAATCAGATATTTTCAATCCTATTGACCTTGATCGGATCACTGGATAGATACAAATATATAGAATACTTGATATGACTAATCTCGCAAACTGAAGATCGGATTCTACCGTGTAGAACAATAACCTTTTATCATTTAAGTCATTTGTAATTGTATAAGGTAAATATAAGTCACTCAAACGATGTGTTTTTCATTTACTATTCAGCCAATCAAGTACAAATCACAATCAAGACTTTTCTTCAGGTATCTTATTCAATAACATAATACATAATTTACTATTGACACAAATTTTCCCTGTAAAACTAAATGGGACTTTATAAATGAAAATCGTATACATGGAATGGATTTCTTAAAGATTATACATCTTATTCACAAGTATCAATCAGACTTGGATCTAGTTGAAGATACTTCCTACAAGCGTTTCTCAATCATAAATATGATGGAAAAACTGGAGATCTTCATGATCATAATTTTTCTAAAATGGATTATTCATTTTCCAGTACTTGTTTTTTTCAGCCAAAATTGTTAAGACAGAATTCAAACAGTAGTTACTCTCAGTGTCCAAACATTCTTCTCGGGATTATTTGGTCAATTAAGGTAGACTGGCTCTATACAAAACATGTTTATCATACCTATTACTTACCAATTAAAAAATGATAATGAATTTAAGGACTTATAAAAGCTAAAAACATGCAAAATTTAGAACACTCATATTCGGAAATAGCACGGAAGGAAAGAAGCAACAAGAATAGATAAATATTGAGAAAAGAGATTAATTGTGAAAGATTTGGTTTGTCTTTTGTATTATGTCACCATATATTCAAGAAGAGTTTTGTACCACAGGTTACTGATCAACAGACTTTTAAGTCGACAAATCGAGTATACATTGGACCCACTACCAGGCAACTGAATCAACGAGTTAGTGAACACCTCACTTCGTGGTTAAGAAACGGTTACGTCATAACAATACGCAGCTCGGTTCTATCACACTTGATCGATAGCGGCCATATAGTAAACAGAAACAAGTCGTTCAAAGCTATTTATCGTATTCCCACTAGTTTCCCTTATGGTGTTCGATCTCATATCTTACATATAGCAGAAGCTATAGGAATCCGAGCCAACAAGCCAAGTCTTTGTGTTCAGAAGAAATTTGTAACACCCTTATCTCTCCCCTGGCCTTAAGTAATAAATGAATTTATTTATTCTTTTTCAAACTTTATCTTCGTTTATTATTTTTCTTCACCCCCTCCTACCACTTTATTTTCTCTCAACTATAAGTTTCATGGTCCAATTATCTGAACATTTCTTATTACGTCATCTCGTAATTTTATAAATGTTATCCCAGTTTATATATTTTTCTAATCATTGACCTATTTCCGATTATGTAACATTGATTTGAGCCTTTATTATTCCTATCAAAACTAATGCACCTGTTGTCACAGCATCAATTGTACTTTTCACGTTTCACTTATTATGTAATCGTCTTCATTGTTATCATTGACTTACAAACTACCTTGGTTGGTTTAATAATTTCGTATATGCACATAAATATTACTGTATATTAGAGTAAAGCCTGATGAGGATTTAATCGACAACAATGTTGTTGGCTTATATATGTTGTTCTAAATTTACAATATGGGAATATTTCAAAAAATCGAGTACTTCAGTAAAACTCTCGAAAGACAGAGATACCAATATGTGTACTTAACTAAACCAGGCTTGATGAAGTTGGTATTCATTTTTCAGTTGTTAAGGTATGAGAAATGTCTATATTGTGACGAATGATGATACTTTATGGCTACCTAAACGGAAGTAGATGAAACGAGCCTGAAATCATGACTTATTGGTCGAAAGTTGAAGGTGTTAACCACTAAACCACCTCTCATAGCATTTATCCGATGCACTTTTGTTAAACAATGTATGTTATTCATTCATAGTGTTTTGGATTAGATACACAGCACACTTACCTGATTCTTAGAGAGGAGAAGTACACAGACAGTTCTATGTCAAAAGTACTTGAAAGACTTTCACGTATTATAGGTACACTTATTCTATCTTCAAGTAAGTAGTATCCTGAAGAAAAAAGAGCAAATGACCTGATAGATAACTTACCAGCTCTTGAGATGTTTGATGATAGCTCAAAGATTTTGCTTGGAATCGTTTTGGTTTCATAAATACTAGTCTACACCATAAATTCATTGTAAAGCATGAACTTACTTGTGTAGAAGGTAACAAGTATTTCCGAAAGCACAAAAGGTCCCCAGAATAAAGAAATCCACTAGTATGTGACCGAAAAACTTTGTTTATAAATACTGGAACCTTTTCTAGCCTATTGTAGAAACGCTATAAAACATATTAGCTGAAATTAATGTCTTGTGAATATACCAACAAGGTAACATCAACCAATAGTACAATAGTGAGACCAATTATTTTTTCCGACGGCGACAAAGGAAACTTGATATTAATATTAACTGCCACTTCTTCATTGAGGTTTTTATTTTTAGAATTGTAGTAACTGATTTGAGGTAGCCTAAGCGAAGATTTCAATAGATGGTTGGTTTCCTTTTGTGGTATGTTACCATAATAAAGAAAACCATCACTCTTCTGAAGAAAAAGGAGCATGTTTCCGTCGAACGATATCAGGGGTTTCTCTGGAAAAGCATAAGAATTTATATACATGACTAAATAAATATTGGTGTAATATTCAGATATTGACAATTTGCTTACAACCCGTTACATACGAGATGATCCATGGTATTAACGTAATCATAAGAACCACAAAAGTGTCGAAAGCAAATGCTAATGATGATACTCTGGCATAATAACGTCGCAATTCATACAACTTGTAGACTTTCATGTTTTGACTTTGACAAGACACATAGAAACAAGTTTGAATGATGCGTTTAAACAAAATTTCAGTGTAAAGATAAAAAGTACCTAATTTGTTGAACCTGATTGTTATCCCGAACAATACACCGACAAACCCCTCGTTGCTCCCGAAAGCGGTCACAGGTTATTATCATATTTCTTGATTAGTTTGTATTATAACCGTTTGAATCTCTACTGAAAAGATGAGAACCCGATTTTCCTTGATCTTGGACATATAAGAGCCCTGTTTATTCCCAAAGATAGAACTTACGATTCTCTTGTGTCTGATCACTAACCACTCTTTAAACAGAAGAGGGTTTTTGCTGAAGGGAAATTTCTTCTTTTTATTTATTATGAATTGTATTTGTTATTCAGACAATTCAGAAAAATTTAAAAATTGTCCTTTTAGAGCGAAATGAAGTACTTGTCAGGCTTTACCTAGAGGAGCCAGGAGAAGTTTCCAACATGTAGCAGTCTTTTAGAATTAACAATTATTCTGACTTTCGGTATGAAGACGTTAACACTCACAGTGTCCGCCATCCTGCCATTAATTTTTTACACATTCGTTTTCTATATGACACTCCTCAGGATTATCCGCCAGAAGAAGCAGATATGAAATTGAAAGATTCACTCCTATCATGATCTATCATACGGCGATGTCTCAATCAAGTATCACGAGAAAGCGAGCAGCATTTCTCTAATTTTACCGACTACGTGATATTAAATAAACTAGTACCGTGTATCAAAGTAGTAGGTCCTTACACAATGGCGGTTATCACTGTAGAATAAAGACGTCAGTAATCAAAGTGATCCGCCTGTTGTTATCTGGAACAAGAAAGACGTGAGTGATTCAAAAACTTAAGCCAGCGCTTCTAGTCGTGATTTTCAAATTGTCTTGTTGATGGATTCCATATGCTCACTGAGAAGCTGAGCCGCTTTTTCCGTTGTTCATCTCCTTTTCCCTAAAAATCTGTATCTGAGGTGTATTGGTTACCTCTAAGGAAAGAAAGTTATTGTATTTATCCTTTAGGTATGACAATCAAGAAATAAACTGACACTTCAGGAGGTTCTTACTCTTCTTCATAGTTGGGCGGATGACAACAAACTTGCCTGTAATACTTCAAAGTGTAAAGTGATCCATCTGAGACATTTTGCAGACTACGAATACAGCTTAGGTAGCTCACTTACAGGGGTATTCCAAGTTGAAGAAAAATCTAAGAATGTTGGTATCCTATAATCTGAAGTTTTACGCTAACTGCGACATAAATGCTTTTCGAGAAAACCTTGCATTGACAACGTTGAAACGCATTTGCTACCAGTTCGACCGGGGATGGATGATATCTTATGATTATTCACCAATTTTTTACAATTCCTATTTCATCAATTATATGCTCAGGCTTCTGCCTGGAGGTTATAGTGGTCCACTACTACTAAATATGGAAGCCCGTTAAGCGAAAGACTCTTCTATCCCGACTAAAACCATTTGAGCAAGCACCTAAATTTGGTGAAGTTTTGTGAAATCCACGACCGAAGACCTGTTCTTTTAGGTTTTCATTAGTGATCAGTTCAGGATTTCAATCATACACTATGGTTACGATAACGCTGTTTTGGCATTTGTACTAAGTGAGGATCCATCCCTAATTGACTCAGCGTTTATTAGGAATTCTAAATGTAATACATCCACTTATGTTCACCTAGTTCTATCTGCCTTAACTTTCACTATTTTGTGAATTCTGTATTGGTGCATTTATTCTACTACTCTTATATGATAATTACAAGTATTTGACTTATAGTACAAACTAGGGACCCCAGAAATTATGCAATTGGATCAAGAAGTACTAAACAAGGACGAACGGATGTATTGTATTTAGAATTCGAAATCAAGCGTTCAACAAGCACAAAAAAGTCGTTAATCCATATTTTTAGGATTTTGACAACCTCGACTCCTTTGGAATACAATACAGACCACTCAATTCTAACAATATCTGTGCAGCAGAACGCACTGATCTGTAGGGCCAGTGAAATGTCATCGAGCCCTAGCCAAATCATCCGGCAGTTGGGTCATTGAATATCAAACAGATCGTCGATCCCTGTCAAGGACAACCATTGCGCATCAGTTAATCGTGCGCCATGGACTGGTGCACGCGGTAATGGTTTCGCTATCTTCTATGTGCTGATTCTTACAAATATATTTCCATAATAACGTCTTTTGTGTTACATGGTGTTCAAAGTAACCATAGTGCTTTGATACGTCGAAGGGATAACTACGTTAGATGCTGACAGCGAGGTGTGACTTGGAAGTTAGGTGGTTCGTCATACCATTCCCGTCTAACTTGAGTAAACCTCCAACCATTCAAAATAGACCATCTACGTTGGTGATTAACAGCAGCCACTCAGCCACAACATAGGACCAGGCACATAGACGCATCGGGCCAAGTTACCATACCTCATTAACACAACAAGATGCACACCAGATTCATAAAAGTAGTTAATTCAGAGGTGGTAATATATAAAAGAAAGATTGCAATGAGGATATATTACAGGAAGAAAGAATTAGTTCGTAGAAAGAAAGATATGAAGCGATTTTAATCTCTCAGTTTAAGGGAAGACAGAGAGTGTATACACCGACGCCATTGTGATCGATTCTGAGCCATGTCACCAAGTCTCCAACCATTGGTTACGATAGTCACGCGGACCCCAACCAAGTAGTCTGCATCTACCAACATGGCTCAGACTGGAAGTTAGTGACTTCAGGCACTGATGCCACGTTTCGGTTTGGCCGCCTCTAACTTCCAACCATTCCCAACACCGGTCAGCATTGCAAGTCGTGGTAATCGGGTATACGTAACACGTGGCCCAACCATCTCAGTCGATGAACATTCACAACCTCATAAACTGATTTACCATCATTACCTAATACCCTGTGTCGAACCTCACTATTACTTACCCGGTGATCCCAGCAGACACCAGTAATATTTCTAAGGCATCTGTGGCCAAATACTAGTAGCTTACGAGTGTTTTCTACTCTTAATGGCCATGTTTCGCTGCCGTAAATTAAAACAGAACGAACTGCCGCGCAGTATACTCGTCGCTTTATTGATAGATGGATATCTCGCCTTCGCCATAGGTGACGTAAGTTGGCAAAAGCCAAACGAGCTTTTCGAATCCGTGCTAAGATTTCGTCAGATACCAACCCATTGGGGCTCATCAGACTTCCAAGATAAGTGAAGTTGTCAATGCGTTCGACTACTTCACTCCCTATCCTCAGTTCAGGTGTTGACGCAGCACCTATTTTCAGAATTTAATGTAGGAACATTCGTCCATCCAAAATTCTTTAGGATTTGAAGTTGGCCAGGAATTTCATCTGACTGCTTATATTCTGCCAAACAACACTTATGCAACGTCAACCGATCCTATCTCGACAACTAGTCTTGCTTATCAGTGACTAACTGCTCAACCACGGGCTTGTATGTTCCTATGGATCAACGTACTTAGCACTCTCTTGGTCAAATATCAATCGCTATTTTTTGTCTTGTTTGCATTTACTATAAAGTATAGGTTTGTGATTTGCAGATTCGAAGTATAAACTAACGTTTTTCAGATGACTATCACGAGGCGAAACTGTCTTTCAACATTATTTAATCTTGGGTGTATATTTCAGTAAAACTTAAGATCGATTAGTACGACAAATTAAAAAGTATCAATTGGTTTATTAATGCAAAACTATGGATAAATTAAACTAAGATACATTCATTAAGATATCGAATAATCACAAAATCACAGTCCCCACTTGTGATTAATAATTGTTGATCTAACAGGTAGGGATACGTATTATGTGTAAAATACATGAGGAAAAAGAATATGCTTTAACAATGATTTCACTAATACATAGAAAATAGTCCATACTTAAGTTGATAAGACTGATAATCAACATTGAGGTTTATATGTACATTTTAATTAACATTATTACTATTGTTTACTCAAAACGCAAACAATATATTTACACAATGTAATGTGTCCTTTAATTACACGATTCATACTTAATATCCTTATCTTGATTCTCTAAATGTAAATCATCATCAGTACGACTATTATTTCCAGATTTTTGGCCCTGATCAATATTAATTGGAACTCGAATAACTAATGCAGCATCATCAAAGAAAGGATTTTTAGCGTGCAGCTCACTTAACCAAAGTCGAATAAGTGCGGAAGATGCAGGTGATGGGATTTGTGGTAAATTGTATCTTTCTTTTTGGTTTCGTTGTTTACAATCTTTTGAATCTGTATGATGAATTCTGTTAGAAACTTCCCAATCATATAACTTTTTCTGATTATCCAAAGCATCTGGTTTAGGTACAACAACTCCAACAGCAAGTATTGTACCCTCACCTTGTTCATGTTGACATAGATTGGATGGTAAGTATTTATAGACATGACTTTGACGAATTGAAAGCCAACGTTTATCGAATTCTGGTTCACATTTACTTATAAATCTTGTAAAGACATTATCTTCATTACAATGGTGCAATTCAGTACCAACTGAACTCACTGTAGGAAGAAGACTCATATGTGGAAAAAGTGAGCGATTCGCATTTTGAGAATTGGAACTATTCAGTACTATATTTGAACTATCATTAGAATAGTTGAAGAACGAAAGATTATACGGTTCTGTAAAACGAAAACGTATAAAAACGCACATGGAAAATGTAAGATATAAGTAGTGCATTGTGATTATGAAATGGAGAATTAATTATTTTACGTAGTCTGTCCAATAAATACGCGAGCTAAGGTCATATAAACTCCATTTGAACAAATCTCGTCCTTTTGACAGTATTTTCTATCTATAGTAATGGATTTAATTTCAGTGCTAAAAATACCTTCGGTAACTAAATCATTCAATCTATCTGAGAAGATCACATGCGACGACGATCTTCTCATATCTAAATAATCAACAATCACTCAGAGAGAGAATCAGAAATTTCAAAACACAAAAGACTATATGCATCCGATCTTGTCATCAATACAAAAGTTCAACTGTCATCTTGACCCTGTATAATGCTTTTATGATTTTACGACCTTCACTGCAACACTTGATTTATATGTCAACAGAACTCCTTTATGAATTTCTTGGTTTTCTACAAATTTCAGCAAATGTCTGATGCTATCCAACCTGAGTATTCATTGAATAGCCTTAATAGTCTAATTAATAAATGGTTTGTAACTTATCTAATTAATTTTCCTACAGTAAGTATGGAAGATAATTTAGAATTGAAGAGAGAAATATAGAAAATAAGAGGAATGATCCGTGATGCAATGATGTAATTGGTTGAAACATTTCAAGTAATTTTATTGAGATCATTCAGCATAAGTGATGAGGCGTATTCCATCAGGTATAAACACTAACCGGGTAACCAATGGAAACTAAAATATGGCAGACATTCATTTTCTTGTATTCTGAGATTTATTGGAAGTACAAATATCAAGTCTAAGAACAACAATTTTCATTATAAAAAACGGCATCATTTAGTCTGGTTCGATTAACTGATACTTTTAATCTTTAAAATATCAATGTAGAATGTAAAGTGCTTTATTTTAGGATTATGTTTTTGTCATGATTGCAGCCGAGTGAGTTGAGTCTGACAGTTATTTGAGAACTTTGAACAGTAGTTAAATGATACCATATGGGATCAAAAATGTCAGAACACTGGTGATTAGACTTAGAGGTGAGTAAAGTAAAGCATGTTCAATGCATAAACTTATTAGACTTTAAGCCATATAATACAATAAACAGATCGATTAATAATTTAATTCATATGATATTGAAATCAACAACTATTTCAACTGAAAATCTTCTAAAAGAGAATCATCGTACAATTACTTCCCCCTAAAGATTGATTAGAGATGTATGTCAATTTAGAAAAGTAAGCAAAAAGGAAATATCAAACTTGGGTGGTTATTCCTTGATGAGTTATTATATAGTCCTAACTCTTGACTCAACTCACTAGCTGTCGTTGTATCTTGTACTTCGTGGTGTTGTGATCTGGAAAGATACAATCATTCATCTGGGATTTATAGTGTTTGTTGATTGGAGGTCTGAGGACGTGTAGTCAACTGATCGTGTGAATGAATACAGTACCGAAGTTGGTGGTTTATAGAGTAGGTAAGATCATTATAATATCTGTCTTGATCGACTACCTTATATAAAATCATTTTATAACATGAAAAACACAACAACAGGATCTTTAACGGAAATAAACACATACCGTCTGCACTATGCTTTGGCACTTGGTTAGCTTTTACTGAATTAATTTCTTTTTTTAATCGATCAGCATCGATCTCTGTCCATAAGGTGTAATAAGCAGCCTATGCATAAAGAAGTAAGGAGAAAAAAGAGGATTACATTGACACCATGTTACGACTCCACCTGTTTAGTATCTATAACCACTACATGTCACTCAACTTGTCCCAACCCAGAATAAGGATAAAATGAAAACAAGATACATATAAAATGACCAAAACAATAAAGAGTCTAGTAGTAAAGACACAAACGTTTATAAAGAATTTACAAGAGAAACATCACCACACCATTTATTAACACTGGCTTCCGAACTTTCGACTAACCAATGCTAAAGTTAGATAACTAGTACTAGGTGAACATGGTAAATTAGTTAACGAGACAGTGGATGTTCATGAATTTAGGTGACTAAGACACGTGTTGTGCATGTCTAACAACTGCTTACCTCGACGGGCCATGTCGTCTAGTGTAGTAGGCTGGGAGACAGTCACGGGCGGCCAAATCAAAACGTGAAGTCACTGTCTATTGGACAGAGTCATATGGGTAGATGCACATAATGCTCTCGAGGTCCGTGAGAATATCGTAACCAATGGTCGGAGACTTTGGGCTAATGAGACTTCCAAGATAAGTGAAGCGGTCGACACGCTCAACTACTTCACTCCCTATCATTAGTTCAGGTGTCGATGCAACCCACATCCTGAAGCAACATTTCGAATCTCAAGGGGAGAATCGCATGCCGGACATACTTGCATTGGTGCTTACAGTGGTCAGAAGACTCTGTATTTTGTCAGCGTCTTCACCAAATAGAACTATGTCATCAGCATTTTCTAAGTCAACAAGTGAATCACCCGGTAAAAGTTCAACCCTTGGAAATTTAGATGAGGAAATTGTTATCTCTAAAAACACGTTAAACAAGAATAGAGAGAGTAGACAGCCCTGACAAACACCAGTGATACTATGATTATTTCGACTCCTTTGGTATTTTGTTAATTTTATCTCACTGTACAAATATGACGCGAGGTAACTAGAACATCCGTCCCGTATCTCACATTGATTACGACTGAGTAATAATCTAAATGGATTTATATTTGAGGTAATCTTTTATGGACACAAATTAGTTTGCCAAATTTTCTCTGAGAAATGTTTTATAACGGTAGATGAAGTCATAATCCATAACCACTCTTCATCATGTCTCAAACGACCCTATAGATATTGAGAAAACATTGATGTCAACGAATCGGATTTACTTTGTATTTAGGTATCTAACAGCTGGATTAGGGGATGAGGAAGCGGAAACAACTATATATTAGATAAAACAAACTTTGTAGACATACTTGAACCATTTACTTAATCACAAATGGAGTAAAATTTATTTCACTTTTTAAAGATACAATCAATCAAAGAATAAAATTGAAGAGATATGAATTATCTATGTGCATTAAGATGGTGGGCAATATTTGAAGTTCGTGTGAATGGATTTTCGTTCTCCGAGCTGGATGGTTTAGTTGTGAAACTTTCAACAAAATTGTCATGTTGCTCGGAATCTCCACAACTAAACCATTCAGCTCAGAGAACAAAACTCCACCACAATTTATGTATATGTTGTGAAAATTGACTGAATATTATTATGTTAATTCTCAGTACATCAATCTCACTTACTTGTAAATTTCTAAACCATACATAATGTGGTCCATCTAAATAAATCGTTGGTTTTGTACATTGAGTATTATTAATTTGATCATTGTGAATTTGTTTATTAGTACAATATGCTAGTAATGCACGCTGTTCAGGACTTTGAGCACTGATAAGTGAATCTGGTCTATCAGGATTAGATGAAGACATCTAAAAAATACCAGCAAAAAAAGAAGTTCAATAATCATGGCGAAAACAAGAAAGATAAAAGATACCGGTTACATTAGATATTCGCAATTAGCATGATGTATTCCGATATTAATGCGCAGAAAATCTAATGCTACAATACGAATAATACGCGCTTCATCCATAGTAAGTAGTGGCACTAATTCACACTTAGATCGTCCTTACACATCAAAGTAATCAGTCTTCTAAGAAAACTCTATCAGTAGTCCTTTCGGGGTTACTGCCGGTCCTAAGTCTGGATAAGAGGTTTTGCATGGGATCACCAACCCAATCCCATAGAAAACAACCTTGCTAAAGAGACGCTAACGAGAAAAAATCGTTTAGACTATTCATACTCTACCCTGGAAGTTGAAGGATCTTCATTTAGGAGAATTATTACGCCTCATGATGAAAACCGAGATTCTTCAGAAGACATTATGCCGACCCACCTTCCAACAATCAGGGAAACAATTAATATAGGTATGTGGAATGTTCGGACAATGTGGGAGATTAGGAGGACCAGTCGAACTGCTGCGGGAATGAGGAGATACAATTTGGCGGTGCTCGGAATAAGTGGAAGCCATTGAATCCAACCTGGACAGAAAAGATAAGATTCGAGAGATGCAGTTGTACACTATTTATTATTTATAAACAATTGTCTACGCAACATATTCAATGTCCATTGACCGGATACCATCAGCAACAGTCCACTGTGGGAGAGAACAAACCAGCTTCCAGCTAAAGAGGAAACTAGAAAAAGATGCCGAAGGTGAATAGGACATACATTGTGGAAATCATCAGACCGCATCACAAGGTAAGCCCTAACTCAGAATCCCGAAGGCAAAAGGAAAAGAGGAAGACCGAGAGACATATTGCGAAAGGAATTGGAGACAGACATGAAAAGAATGAACAGCGAATGGAAACAATTGGAAAGGACAGCACAGACAGAGCTGGTTGGCGGTCTATGCTCCCACGAAGGGTCACAGACGTAAGTTCCCTGAAAATGAAAAGGATGATACAATTATTCTGTAAACATAAAATGTGCACATGATTCTGAAAGGCATATAACAAGTAAAGATATTAGAAGATTATTTGGTTACTAAGAGAACGGCAATGGTCATGATGAGAATACGGATTGTTTGTCCATGACAGATTTTTGTTGCGAAAAAGTATGAACTTTAATAGTACGTTAATTAAGCAGAAATTTCAAAATCTCTACTGAATTTTAAAATAATCTAATTCTTAGGGAAATACTACTAAAAGCAAAGGGATGAACCGAACAACCTTTTTTTATCAATAAGCAGCATAAAAAGTGATGAGAGAATATGTTACGTACATGAAAATGGGTCCAATGAATAGTAACTAATTGAAATGAAGTTTAACTTTTTTTTTAGAACACTAGATTTCTTTGAATGAGCAATAGAATGGTAAATATTAAGTACGGAATTGACACGTACCATAATAGATATCCAGATAGCGACCAGGCCATCACATGTCAAATGAAATTCTATTAAGAAAACATTACTCTCCTGACTAACACATATTATGAAAAAATACAGAGGGTAAAAAACATAGATCACACATTAAATATATTTGACTGTCTATGTAGAACATCAACCAATCAAAGTTGGCTTCTACCTACACAACATCGGTGGTCATGCTGAATGTGTGGACTTTTGATTCATTACTTTAAGTACTTAACCATTCATCCATTGCGTCATTGGTTGAAACTAATTTAACTACTTTGGTTTTGGGTAAATGAGTAATAGTTGAATGAACTAACTTGCGTGCATTTTTGTTGGGTTTTACAGTAGTGCTTATTTGAAATCGTGAACCGATCAATATTAAACCACTATTGAAAACCTGGAAGTACTAAACGGGATTTTTTCCAGGTATAAAACTCCTCGGTATTGAGTATCAACGACCTCAAACGCGGGAATCGGACCCAATTGTATATTACTTGATAGTACAGATTAGGATTCGGGCCCAATGCCTTTAATATCCTAGTTAAGCCAAAACTTTCAGATCACTAAATTCTTACTGACTGTGAGTACCGAAATAACTGTCGAGTGTCCTTGTTTTGTAGGGGTCTTCTAGCTGGACGTCAGTAAGTGATGAAAATTACGTTCAAATTGGACTCAAACTTGAGTTTTCACAAGATTTTGATTAATATAACTCTGAATCGGTCACAAAGACACAGATCCACTCACTTTTTATCTTCCTCTCGAGATTTTGAGTTCCAACATTCTTCCACGACTACGTTTTCATTCAGTCTTTTCAAATCATACTCGACCCATTTATTATTCATGTTGGTAATTTCATCTGATCGTGCTGATATGGTACGAGAACCTGGGGTCAACTCACAAATGTGTCAGACTACAATGATTATGACTGACTGACTTAGTCATCTTAATAAAATTGTATTAATCGATAGACGCTAATTTTTGTTTAATTAACTAACCTGTACAACAGTGAATTCTGTCATCCGATCGGGGCATATTCTTTCAGCAATTAAACAGCCCAATTTAATGGGATCTAAATCAAGATCATCAACGATACGAAGTGGTAATGTCCATGGATTACTATAATACAATTTAGGCATCCAATACATTAGACGACGATAAGCATTCATAGCATGATTACGCCAACCGAAAATGTCGATAATCATTTGGCCAACTTCATCATCTGGCAGGACGTCTAGTGAATTTCAACGTAATAATAAAAAAAACTTCACATAAGGTATACAAAAAGCTACTATAATTTAACTGTATATACACTGCGTTATCAAAATGAATCCAAACCGAGACAGAAATTCTAATGAATGCAAATATAAATTTGAAAAGAAAAAACTGTTTTATTCTCTCCGCTCCATTAATTAATCAAGCAGTACCTATAATCGACTCGTAAAAAATTAAATTACTTTGCTTCAACTTTGTGTCCCTTTTTATTCTCATTTTGTGTAAACTCTTGTTATTCAACTCATTCATTAACTCATTTATATCGAAAGTTCTGTTCTGTATAAACTATCTCAAGTCGCTGAATGTTCAAATATTTGAATGTTACTACCGAATACAAAATTTGAATCAATTTTCCTGAGGTCATGTGTACCACTTTAAAAGATTTTCTCCAAGGTCAGGACACTGCAACAGATAGGAAAACAGACATGTTTGTCTATGTATTTAAAAAGTCTTAACGTTGATGTTTTCCACCCGGCAGACCGTATTCGAAACTCTGAAGAAAAGCTACAAATTGGTTCTCCATCTGTTGACTCGGAAAATTTGTTTTGTAGATGCTTATCCAGTACATCAGACTAAACGCTGTTGACATTTATTATAACGAACTGATTGGTATGAATGGAGTGGTTGAACTAATCTGTTTGGTAATAGAATCGATATTATTCCACACTGGGGAACGAACGAAAACTAGATTTTTATCTAAACGTACGTTTCCTCAAACGTACCAAGTTAAGATCGATTCGAAAAATGAATTTTAATATTTAATTCTAGTGGGTGACAGTTCTCAATCATCATTATCAAATGAAAACCTGCCATGAATATGTATCAATTTAAGTTTGATTTGAAACATCAGGACAAATCAACAAGAGAAGCAGAGAAATTAATTTCATAACTGCAATGGAAGTCGACGACACTGTTAAACAGTGCAAAAGGAACGAATGAGATTGAAGAAGGAAAAAAAAGTTTGAGAATGAGTATAATTGTTAATTTTCATTCGCAATGTATGCAGTTCGGCATCTTGGACAACAATGTCTATCACTGAATGTCTTTAAGAATTATCCCAGGCTACTGATTCAGTTTGTCAGACAAAAATGCCTACACTTAAGTCCAAAATTGAAAATAACAATCAGATACTACACGAATTGATCTGTCTATTTAGTATTATTAACCATCTATATCTAGATGCTATTATTTTGGTTGTATACTATAGTATGGTAAACAGTCGCTGATAATATGGGATAATGAATTAAACTTACAATTCAGTCAGTCAGTCATCTGCAACGTAGGACCAGGCACATATATGCATCGGTCCAAGTTGCCATACCTCATTAACACAACAAGATGGACACCAGATTCATAAAAGTAGTTAATTAAAATGTGGTAATATATAAAAGAAAGATTGCAATAAGGATATAGTACAAGAAGAAAAAATTAGTTCGTAGAAAGAAAGATATGAAGCGATTTTAATCTCTCAGTTTAAGGGAAGACAGAGAGTGTATACACCGACGCCATTGTGATCGATTCTGAGCCATGTCACCAAGTCTCCAACCATTGGTTACGATAGTCACGCGGACCCCAACCAAGTAGTCTGCATCTACCAACATGGCTCAGACTGGAAGTTAGTGACTTCAGGCACTGATGCCACGTTTCGGTTTGGCCGCCTCTAACTTCCAACCATTCCCAACACCGGTCAGCATTGCAAGTCGTGGTAATCGGGTATACGTAACACGTGGCCCAACCATCTCAGTCGATGAACATTCACAACCTCATAAACTGATTTACCATCATTACCTAATACCCTGTGTCGAACCTCACTATTACTTACCCGGTGATCCCAGCAGACACCAGTAATATTTCTAAGGCATCTGTGGCCAAATACTAGTAGCTTACGAGTGTTTTCTACTCTTAATGGCCATGTTTCGCTGCCGTAAATTAAAACAGAACGAACTGCCGCGCAGTATTTTCGTCCTTTTATTGACAGACGGATATCTCGCCTTCGCCATAGGTGACGTAAGTTGGCAAAAGCCAAACGAGCTTTTCAAATCCGTGCTGAGATTTCGTCAGAAACCAACCCATTAGGGCTGATCAGACTTCCAAGATAAGTGAAATTGTCAACGCGTTCGACTACTTCACTCACTATCCTTAGTTCAGGTGTTGATGCAGACCAGTCCTGAAGCAGCAGCTTGCGTTTAGAGGGAGAGAAGTGCATTCCAAACATTCTGGCATTGTTTCTTAGTGCTACCAAAAGACTCTGCATTCTATCAGCGTCTTCACCAAACAGGACTATATCATCTGCGTATTCTAAGTCGATAAGTGGACCTCCTGGAAGGAGGTCAATACCCGAGAATTCAGTAGACGAGAATGTTATTCTCATCAATAGGTCTATGATGAAGTTAAACAAAAATGGAGAAAGTGGACAGCCTTGACGGACACCACTTGAGGTTGCAAAAGCAGATGACAGTTCGCCATAAACTCTGACTCGACTAGTAGTGTTCGAGTACAGAGCCTTCACAAGGTTTATGTACTTCTGAGGCATGCCTTTCAATGACAGACACTGCTACAGAATCTCGCGGTCTACCGAGTCGAATGCTGCTTTTAAGTCAAGAAAGACCACCATTGTCGGACGCCGATAAGTATGCCTATGTTCTAGAACCTGACGAATGGTGAATATGTGGTCGACGCAACCACGACCAGATCTGAAGCCAGCTTGATTCTCTCGTGTTTGCGCACACTTACAATTAGTTGTAAGTTTGTTTTTTTATTCACTTTGATATTCAGTATTGAATTTGATTTATCTGACAATATATGGGCTCTCTAAATGCATGGCTACACAATCCCTATACTTGAAAATTCGCTATGGATACAAGACTCATAAACTGGGTTTGTCTACATACCAATGTTGATAATCACAAAGGGACTCAAACTCAATGCCTATTGCTTTAAACTTCGGATCTATAAGTCATCAGACTAAAAGAGTTACAATAGAACACTTACACTGATGTAAAAAAGTTTTTTTATGGAATAAAGAGATTCAACTCACGATATCTTGACATTTGACTTAATATGTCAATCATAACTTGTTGTTGTTTTGGAAAATGACCAAAATCAGCTTGTAAGAAACGTTTCACAACCATTCGTCCAGTAGGAAATAAACGAATTACTGCTTTATAACAATCTAAATCATCAACCACTTCATATTCAGGCATTTTATTTAGTGCATTTTCAATAAACGAAGTGAAACCTTTACGACTTGGTCCTGATCGTTGAATAAACATTTCTAAAATATGCTGTAATAATATAACAAGAGACAAAAGTACAAACCTTAGGTATTAAATGTTATTAGTTGTTTAATCAGTCATAGAAGAATTATAAATATGGTATACATGCATATTATCGGTGCATATAGTAACACGTCAAATCAACGTAGTGAAAGATAGAAATATACGAAGTTAATGGGATGCGGAGTGAAGTAGAGTAAATAGTGACAACTGACTAAAAATACGTTATCTTTTTCTTCCAAAATATGTTGCTGATTAGGTGTGGGAGGAAAAATGACTAGAGATAGTCAGATAAATATATTATCAGTTTATAGAGTCAATGATCGTTGTTAGAATTCATGTTAATAAGTACAACTTTTGTTGCTTGATGTCTACGAGTTGTTAGAAATCCCAATTGTGGACAAGTGTTCGACTATGAAAACGTCGACATATTGTACAAAGATAATATAGAGGAAAACCACTGACTTAGCAGTCAGGTTACTACACAATCAATAACCATACTGAAACAGATCAAATTTATCAACTTGTTAGAGAAAACTATCACTAACTATATGGTCAGGAATCAAGTTAAAGAAAATAATCAAAATGAGTACGAGAATAATTGCTATCTATGTTACTTCTCATCCAACTATCGTTAATTTGTTGATTTCCAATAGCTACTCTGATATGAGGTATGGCAACTTGGATAAATGCACACTCATTGTGCTTGGGTTCTATATTGATAATAACTAAATCAAGTAAATTATAATGTAGCTAACACTTTGAAAAATCATATATAACAAGTGTATATGATTACGATAAAAGAAAATACATCCTGTGAGTATTGCTTACAAGGAATGTACGTTTCTTCCATTTTCGAAGCTCTGTCCTAGTCATACTAGTATCAGATCCTTTCCAATGTAACAATTCCGATTTTTCAACTTCTTGGACTGCATCCAACCACTCACTAAAATTTTCAAAGGGAAACAAAATACAAAAATTGAATGTGAGTGTGAGTATTCTTCGAAATGCTAAACATTTCCCGAATAGTTACGTTGAAAAACAAATAAATCAGTACCGAACTAGTGTTTCGTGATACCTCAGAAATATACAATTTTGATACCTACCAAAATGGAATAGCCAATTTTCAATTTAAGTAATTTTTAGTAGTTAAATTATGGAAGCTGTTTACACAAAACAATGAGTAGAGCTATAATAAAAGTCAGGCTGGAATCGACTGATATTTTTCTGTTAGTTGAGTTTCTAAACATGAGCAAGCTAAATGGCGATTGAAGTGAAACTGAACGAAGGATCGGAATAATAATGTATCAACGTAGAAATTGTTACACTAATCTCAACTGCAAGTCCTTTTATTTTGATTAGTAACAAAATGAACCATTAATTAACAAGTCTTTGATATAAAAGTAACAGATTATCTCTTAACAGCAAAACAAAAGAAAACATAAACACGAAGCGATACATCGAATTAAATTTAGTGAAATTAGAACGAGTGGTAAAACATTCTGTATGAAATAATACTGTTCATACTCCTAGTAGTGATGAAAATTAAGTGTATTTTGTTTGCTAAGATCAATTTCGAAGCAGCTTAAACTAGCGTTTACAACTGAATTTATCATGTCTCATGAGCTTATATCAAAAAGCCAACAACTTTTGATATAGCTCAGAGGAAAGTAAGGACAAAAGGTTTTCATGGGATGTTTCAATTTTTAATGAATAAAGGTTTTTAAAAAGTACCATAATACACAATAAATACTCCAAGAATGATAAAACATTGAAGTCTACAAGTATCGTTTATCTCTGATGTTCATGTTCTATAGGTTAACTTTACAAGAAAGAATATTTTTGAACTGTACAACTGATACTAAACATGCTGTTGAAGGTTTGATTTGTCACTTAAGCTACGACTGTTAGACTATTTAGAAAATAGTGGTAAATGTATTGATTCCGCCGTAATTACGTTAGAAAAATTAAGAATATTAAACAGCATGATAGACAGGTGCATGTATCATTGAAGTGAACAGTAACTATACAAGAATGGGAGGACTCTATGATTGCTCTCACTATATTATTGTAAGGCATTGGGAATAGTACAGGTATTTAAGTAGGTGTTTTTGGTAGTAGTGTGGTGGACAGTATCAGATTTAGCACTATTATCATGTTAGTCTAATGAATATAAGGTCCAGTGTACAACACTTCGGTATCAGTACCTGTATTATGCTTTTGTGAAGCATGAGCTTTGAGCTGAGTACGTTATACGGTTTTCTGTTGGACCATCTCTGCTTTTGTAATATTACTCACCTTACATTCGATTGAGAGACTAGGTGACGCGTCTCAGTATATTGGTGATAACTAAATTAGTGGAGTTGTCGTACAACATTTACTTAAGGAGTTTGTGACTGTGACTGTTTCCTAACTGTGAAGCCGGCTGGAGTTGTCATTCTTAAGAATAATATTGAAATATGAAAAATCGCACTACCAGGTAAGAACTTGTTAGTTCATTAAGACTATGTGGATAAGATTATAGAAATTACGAAACTTTGTAAGTTGAAACATCACTAAACATGTTTATGTTTTTCATAGACAGTAAGATATATTTTGAGGAGAAAGAAATCTACCTTGGTTATATTTGAATTTGAATCATCTATTTTAGTATTATAGTCCTTATTGTAACCACAAGGTTCACTTTTTCTTTTCCTTACAAGAATACTATTTCGTTTAGTGTGATGTCCCGTCGTCCTAAACTTTTTTGCTTCCCAATAAAGTATAAAATAAATTATGAAATTGACATCTTAGCGACCAGAAAATTTATTTAATCGTACGAGAAACAAGATTAGACTTCTGGCAATCTATGATCAATGAAAAATTATTCTGTTATGATAAAATAAGAAAATTTGAAGGTAGATCCAACTTACCTGTCATTTGGTACACTCTGAGAGTCTTTAGACTGACTAGAGGCAGCTTCACTAAGCTTCGACTTGATGAAAGAAAAAAACGAAGCAGGACGTGAAACAACTGGCATCACTAGTTTGGTTGTACCAAATCGATTATCATAATCTGACATTCGACGTAAAACTGTGAATAGTCGCAATCTACGTATGAGTTCAATACGAGCCATTCTATTTCAGTTCAAAGGCTTAAATGATCTAGAGACAAACAATGATATAAAAATTGACGAGAATTATGCTCAACCAACAGTAAACAAGCTGAATTTACTTTTACTTAAAATTGAGGATACAGTATTTTAGTTTCTCCTAAAAATTTTATTTCTGCAAATAAATATTTTCAGGATAATTTTATACTTTTAGCATTAAGACATTTACATACACAAATCGCCAAATGCAGTTAGTAACTTCGCTTATTTGCTGTCCATCTCAACAATATAGCAAGAACACCGAAATATACTGACAAACCACACTGTCTCTTCGTCATCTCGGCCAAAGTTCCGATAACTTCATCTTAAATAGAGTACAAAGTGACTTACAAAAAACTTTACGACATTAGGAAAACCAGGCACTCTTACAAAATAGTAGTAGCAGATCGCCTTAACGCTCACATCCGTAAGCTAAATCAAACTGAAAAATACTTCATTGTGCCTGAGGGCATCACAGGAAAACGCAGCAGATAACGGTGACCGTCTCCTCTAAATAAGCTCAAACAACCGTTTAGTCCCAGCAACTACAAACTTTGAACATAACAAGAGATAATGTGAGGACTGATACCTTCCGACATCAACACAACGGTGGACACAAATGGATCATATCATCACCCATCGTTTGAAAGGCTTGACAAAAGACTGACATCTCTTTTCAGCCACAAGCTTGAACTCTGAACAGCTAGGGTGACTGGAATACTGGTAAGAGTTTGGGAGTAGGATATGCTCCCGTCTGGCTGATCTTGATCGATGATTTTCAGTTTATAAAAAAGGATAGCAATCTTCTTGTGATAACCACAAACAAGTCAACTCGACTAACAGTGTTTGAAATATTTGTATCTATAATCACGTGATGCTTAACTAGAACTCGTCAGAAGCGTACTGAGGAGCATCGCGAATGTCTCACGCATAAAGGTGCATGTATGAACTGAATATTTACTTTTCGTCAGATTTTGGAAAACAGACACACATACCGGCGGACAGTTTCATGACCGCAAGGAAGCATCTGACCTTGTCGATTGAGAGGTTTCGTGACCGAGTTTATCACTGAAAGGTGTACCAAATAAGTACATTAACCTTGTGAAAGTTCTCTACTCAGACACTACTGGTCGAATCAGAGCTTATGATGAAGTTTACCCGAGTTGTATACCTCAAGTGGAGTGTGTCATGGTTTTCCACTGTCAGACATTGTTTATATTATATTTGTATTATATATATATATATATATATATATATATATATATATATATATATATATATATATATATATAAATATATATATAGGCGAAAACTGGATAATTCGGTGCCTAAATTAAGGCAGAAGTAGACAACTCAGCGACATTTGGGACATAGAGAAACAAGAAGGGGTGAATTCTGCACTATTTACCCATAGCAGGAGAAAAGGTGGACATTCTGGCGCGTTTCCCCATTATTTCTCCTTTATACGCTAACGAAATGCCCACTTTATTTCCACGTTGCTCTCCTTTATTTCCTCTTCATCAGTTGTTTAGGAACACAGTATTGCTATTTTGGGTAAAGTCGTAAGAAATTTTGTAGTTTAAATTACCAAGGTGTCATGAGATTATGGAGAAATATTGGGGAAAACCCGAAATTTCCCGATGACTTTTGAGACCTGTGGAAATTTTGAGGTTTTGTGCCATTTCCCTGAAGTTTTTGTAGCGGCTTCCCCAAAACTTACCTAAAACGGATGAAATTTTCCCGAAATAGGGAAATTGGGAAGTATTATGGTTGCAATTATGGTATCGTTTATACACAAACGACAGTTAAAGGCAATAACTATGTGTCTCTTGTGTAAAAAGAAATAAGAATAAAAACACTTGATCAAACATATGTGTTATATAATACACAATACAATACGGTAATTCGGACATATTCTAACTCGAAGTTAAACATGAAGTTAGACGATCAAATTTACCAGATATTTTGCCCCGAACGACCTTGAGTTAAATGGGCAAATGATTGTTTTTCAGTTTCAGTTTCAGTTTGGGAAGGACAGGAGGCTCGATGGCCTATGTTAGTCCTGGCAATGGTGGTCTCTCAGTTGATCCAACTTTCTTTTAAAACAGTCGACGGATGGAGCCTCAACCACGTGCTGAGGTAGTGAATTCCACTCGTTGATGATTCGATGGGAAAGTCGATAGTCAGCTGACAAGTAATTTGTTCTCGGCTTATGAACTTTTTTGGAGTGTCCTCGTAAATTCTCTGTTTTGGAAGACAAGAAAAATGAGGGCATATCAGGTGCAAATTTATCACTAAGCAATTTGTAGACTGTAATCAAGTCGCCTCTAGTTCTGCGATATGACAACGGGAAAAGGTTCAGCTTGGCCAGTCGAGATTCATACGGAAGCTTCGCTATTGCGGGAACCAGCTTAGTCGCCATTCTCTGAACCTTTTCCAGAAGCTCTCTGTCTTTTTTAAAGCAGGGGCTAGCCGCTTGTATGCAGTACTCAAGTTTAGGACGAACGAACACTGTATACAAAGTCAAAAACGTCTTAGTGTCGACATGACTAAAAGCCCTACGTATTGACCATAACGTTCTAAAACTTTTGGCGGCTATTGCACGGCAGTGTGCAGTAGTCTTTAAGTCTTGACTAACGATAACTCCTAAGTCATTATATGTCTGGACGACAGGTAGCTCAGTGTTATTCATCGTGTATGTATCTGTGCCTTGATGACCGATATGCATCACAACACACTTGGAAGTATTTATCGGCAACTGCCATGTTTGAGACCATTCAGATAACTTCTTCAGGTCATTTTGAAGTTCTAAGCTATCACTCTTACATCGTATCGTTCTCCATATCTTGACATCGTCAGCATATAGCAAGACCGATGATGATAGGAGACAAGGAAGATCATTTACATATAAGAGGAATAGCACTGGCCCCAAAACTGTACCCTGGGGCACTCCACTAAGCACAGTTTCCCAGCTAGATAACTTTGAGTTCACCCTTACTCTTTGTTGACGCCCAACTAAGAAGTCTTTTATCCACATCAATAAATTACCTCCAATCCCGACATGTCTTAACTTATATAACAGCCGGTTGTGCGGAACTTTATCAAAAGCTTTACTGAAATCAATGAAGGCGACGTCTACAGGTAGCTTTTGGTCCTTAAGAGCACACCAACTTTCACGAGCCACTAATAAGTTAGTGAGACAAGAATAACCTATTCTGAAGCCATGCTGCTTCTCCGAGAGGATCCGGTTTTTATCGAGATACTTAAACAGCTCCTTCCGAATAATCTTTTCTAATATTTTAACAACCACACTAGTTAGGCTAACGGGGCGGTAGTTCTCAGGTTTGTGTTTCGTGCCTGTTTTGAAGACAGGACTTACTATGGCGTTTTTCCAATCTTTCGGTAAGCGACCCTGCGTAACGGATAGGTTGAAGCATGTACTTAAAGGGTTCGCAACGAAGTTAGATAATTCCTTCAGTAGCCTAGGATGTAATTCATCGGGCCCCGTGGATTTACCTATGTCAAGCTTATTTAGCAGACCAAAGACATCGAGTTCTTTAATGGTCACGCTATCCAGTGTATGTATGGGGGGATCTGTATACGCTGACGAGAAGGGCGCTTCTATGGTATACACGTTGCTAAAGTAGTTCGAGAACGCTTGAGCCTTACCAAAGTCGTCCTCCACTAGTGATGAAGCAGTACTGTCTCCCCATAGAGCAGGAATATTACCTTTTCTCCTTGTCCTTTGGTTTATATAGGAATACAAGCGTTTAGGACATTCTATGGATTCCTTAACAAGTTTTTCTTCGTACAATTTTCTAGACTTACGGAGGGTCGAGGCACAAGTGTTCCGAGCCTTTCGATACTGAGATTTTGACTCATCAGTCCCCAGTAACCTAAATCTATCCCACGTTTTCCTTTTCTTACGGAGAAGGATACGGACCTCCCTACTGAACCATGGTGGTGAGTTTTTCGGCCCCTTTGGTATAGTCCAAGGGATGTGAGGTGTGGTAACTTTTAAGTATGATTTTCGAAATGTGTCCCAGGCCGTTTCAATGGAGGACTCTGGGTCTATTGTCCAATCTATTAACGATGCTGAGTGCATGATTTCTGGTATGTTTGCTTTCCAGACGTTGGGTCTGGACTGGACTGACGCGTCCTCATGACTGGCAGTTATATGGAAGTCGAAAGTTAAAACTGCGTGGTCACTTTTACCTAAGGGTGGCATATGGTGGAGGTTCGCAACATCATCCTCATAGTGAGTCAGTATAAGATCTAATAAGGATGATTCAGTGTCCGGGTCGTACCTAGTCGCTTCTTTCACATGTTGCACTAGGGCACATGTGATAACCGCATCAACTAGTTCCTGCTCAAAGGAATTTTCTGACGATTCAGTTCGCAGATTTTCCCAGTCTAACATTGGTGCATTAAAGTCCCCTAGGATTAGACATCGACCACTTTGGGACCAAGTATTGAGACTGCTTAACAGGATCTCATTTGCCTCACAGCTTGGACTGCGATAGACCAAACCAATCAGCAGCTCTTGTCCCTTGCATTTTAAGCGAAGACTAACTAACTCGCATGTCCCACTCTCATGGGATACACTATCGATAATGGTAAATGGGATAGCATTCCTAATGAATAGAGCTACTCCCCCTCCTTTGCGCTTTTGTGTTCTGTCGGCCCTTACTAACGTAAAGCCCTCGAAATCAAGTTCTATACTATCTATAGCCTGTGTCAGCCAGGTTTCTGTTACTGCGATTATATCTGGCTTTATAGAGTCAATCTGTACACCTAGTTCCGATCGCTTATTGAGTAAGCTTCGTGCATTGGTGTAACAGATCCGAAGCCTGTTTAGGTGCCTTCGTGCTTCACCCAGAGTGGCTTCGGCATCATTCTCTGTCGAAGTCTTACAACCCGAAAATTTACAATTTTCAGGTCCTTTTCGCCAGCGTCTAACCTATGTTGTAGTTCTTTCTCGGCTTCCCGTCTTTTAACACGGTCTGCCAACGGTAGGTCCTTTCGAATAAAGACTCCCGAACCCTTTAATTTGTGTCCATTTTGTAAAATTAGGTCACGTTCGTTTGAAGAGCCGAATACTACTTTAAGCAGTCTGGAATGATTTGGTTTCGAGTCCGTTAGACTCCCTAGTCTATACACCTTTAGCAAGGTGACCCCAGTCATATTTTGAGGCATGAGTTGATTAAGCAGCTGCCTAATCAGTACAATGTCATGCTCAAAACGAGCTTTAGGTTCAGAGCTATCGCTCTCCTTAATTCTATGAAAAATAGCTGATCTGTCGCTATGATCAGCTTTCGATTTTTCAACCACTTTTACGGGGGCAGGTTTCCCTTTTATGTCAATACTTTTCTTCCTTACAACCTTTACCCATTCGTTAACGCTGCTGGTAGAAGCAGTAGCAGTTGCGTCAAAACTAGTGTTGGGTTTTGGGGGGTTATCGACGACCTGAGGGGTCGTGTTATGTTTATCAGTCGAAACCGATCGAGCCTTGCGATTGCGGCTCCTAGGTGTTTCCTGTTGGATCCCATCTGGGAGACGGGGAACAGAAGACCCTGCTTTTCTTGAGCTTTTTTTTAAGGCAGACCCCTTTGGATACTGCTTTTCCTTCTTCGATGGGCGTGAATCATCTATCACCGGACTCACCTTAGTTTCCTTCACATTGATTTGCGTGTCAACAGATCGAGTGCTGTTTGACGCGTTCCGACTATGCTTGTTGAAACACTTCTTGGCAGCATCAACCAGTGAGATAGCCTCGGTTAACAAGCTGTTTGCATCCGAGCAGCACTGTTGACAAAGCCACACACAACCCTTCTTACTGAACCGTTTGAAAGCAGCAGGCGTTAAGTTCGTGCAAACTTCGTGGTACCAGCCTTTGCACTCGTCGCACTGCATGCCGCTTTCAACAGGATAACGACAACCCGGACGTTGGCAACTGCTTTTTTTACACTGTCCGGTCATTTAGGAGGGGTTTTTTCAATATGCGATGATACCCAGAAACAAAAAAATTATCAATGACCAAAAAAGTGAAGAGCTGTAGATTGCTAGGACCAAAAGTACTAACAGATACAGTTGAAAAAGTGGTACTAAAGAGTACCAACGACAAAACAGTAAAAACGATACTTTAGTCGAATACTTTAACTGAAATAAATTCAATTAAAGTGAAAAACAGTAGTCTTGATACGTAATAAACGATCAAAACAATGAAATTTACTCAGCGAGGAAAAATACCACTGTCCTTTTTAAATAGCGCGCGTGGACGGAATAAAAGCAACTTTCGTTTAACGAACTTCTGTATCTGTTATTAGTGGATCACTGATTTCTCTAAGTAAGAACCTAGGTATATTTATTGATGAAAAAATAAATATTGATAAGTCATTGTGAAATATCGTCTTAAGTCCTTAAGAATATGTCAAGTTTTTTCTTGTAGGACTCCTGGGAAATGGCTTAGACCACCTTGACTGGCAGAGAATTCAAGGATTTGCCTACTCACAAGGAGTAAAAGGTGTGATTGTGATCCAGTTTTCTCTGTTTTGCTTTTGATTTCTGCGTGCCACCCCTAAGATTTGTGTTTGGACTGAGTTTATGTGGATATTTTCGGAGGTGCTAAGAAGTGTTTAGGATTTTGTAAGTCGATAATTTGATCCGTTCTTTGCAATGTTTGAATTTCAGTCTCCGAACTCATTTCGTGGCTCGCCTTTGGATACGTGTCAGTGTATCCTTACCAAACAAGAACATGTCAGTTCTATACCCTCAGCCCAAATGAGAATCATTAACTCCATCAGTGTTTGACTTCAGTCAGTCAGTATTTGGAAATACTCCATAAATTTCATATACTTTACTTGCTTTTTATCCTATTTCACAGCGTTTGCCTTCTTCCTCAAATTATCACCCATGATTTTTGATCGTGTCCTCCAGATGAGAATCAGAGTTTGTAAGAGAGTGGAGGGTA